CCAAATATGGCTGTAGTCATATTAAAGATCAAATTTAAACAACATGTGTACAGTTCAGAAGCAAACATAAAAACTTCAATATAAGTACAAAATATAGAAATAATAACAATATACAATGATTAAATCTCAAAATGGAATCAAATAAAATGCCAAAATGTCAACAGAAAGAGTCAGTCATATCATAACACAAATATATATACATGGAGGGATTTTCCAAAAAACAAAACATTCAAAAAAGATTCTACAAGGACTTTAGTTACCTTAGTACTGCGTCAGGTGTAATATGGACATTCCCTAAGTCGTCAGCGGGCATTGGGTTTGTGTAATACTCTGACCATGTGGATGCCTGTTTTAACTGATCGGTACAGTTTGTGTTGAAGTTCTCAGCCATCTCTAGTTTGGTGAGGTCTTCCTCATTCGGACCTCCGAGAGAACACAAAAACTGATTCGTAGGTTTTCTTTTAGTCATGAACTCCACAGGTGCTTAGGGTTTGCCTGTAATTGGACAGCTAGCTTCATCTGAAATCGTCTCCTATCACTTCGAACTTTGGCACTGTATCTGTTTCGCAAAGCCAAGTAAGGGCCACGGTTGGAATCATTCACGAAGACCTTTCGCTTATATCACTTTCGACTTTTCGCCTGTAGCCAGCGTTCATTGTCTCGCCTAACTCAATTTGTTCTCTTATCAGATGTGTGGTGTGCCTGAGGTACACTTATGAAAAGAACCAACGTTCTTTATGTTGAGGGTGCTACCATAGGATCTCGAAGTGTTTGCTAGTCCGTCGTTACCGCGGACTCCGATTATTTCACTGTTTTTAATTATTTACTCTATCCAGACAATGAAATCCTTTGTTTATACCTTTGGCTTTAGTGATGACGGTTTCATTCTTTTGGTTTGGTATTTTGAGAATTATGCTCTGGAGGTCTAATCATTGAAGGTTTGCAATTAATTCTGATATAATGATATATTCCGGCTAATTGCCTGTAACTTACATGTAAGCTTTCGGAACCTGGAACTCAATTTTTAGCAGTTTTTATTTTAGGCCATAATTACAGGTAATTAACTTACCTGTACTTCAAAAGCAAGCCAGAGTAGAATTGAAGCATAAGAATTGTGAGCTATGTAATGAATGGATAAAATTATGAAAATACTTTAAAACAATTAGTCCCTTTTATAAATTTTGATAGAACAGTGAGAAGACGTAATTGATCTGAAAAATGTGATGTATTTGCGCTATACATTTCGAACAATCTGGTCACACATATTTACTTGTCAAGGCATTTTATATGAAGATGAATAAAAGGTCAATTAAATAAAAGTTCAAATAGACATAGGGTGATAATTGTAAATAAAGGAGAGAGAAAATTAACGTAATATGAAAAGAATAAGAAGGGGTAGGAAAATTGTCACATTACCCTAGGCTTAAAGATTACCAAGGTAAATTCAAGGTTATGACAAATTGTTTCTGCACACATAAAGGGGGTTTTAATTTTCTAATAGCCAAGGCCTCCATAAACCTCAAAATTCGTCCTTCAACATTTCTATACAATGTTTTGAAGGCTGTCTTGATGTCAATCTTATGCCCTGTCTCAATTATGTGTTTGGCGATCGATGAACATGGTTTTCTATTTCCAACGTTAATCGGCTCATCTGACGTTAACTGATTTTGAAGCCACTTAGGTACATGTTCCACAACCCTTGATTGCAAAGTCCGATTACTCCTCCCTATGTATGTGTGTCCACACAAACATGTAAATTGATAAATACAATGGGATGTGATGTAATCATTAGAGCAACGTTTAGGTATATGAGAAATCATGGACTTGGTCTTTTCAATGATAATCAGTTTAGCAGCGTTGTATGTTTTCTCTATGGCTGCTTTTAGTCTCTGTCTTATTATTAGACCATTTGCTTCACCTCTAAATGGTAAAGTGATATAAACCTTTTTCTTTTCAGCAGAATCAAACACTTGCTTTTGTCTTAACCGATCTCTACACCTATTGATAAACTTTAGCGGATAGCCATTTGAAATCAATGCTTCAGTTAAGAATTTCGCATCGTCGTCAAATGTATCCGTGGTGCAAATCCTTTGTGCCCTATTGAAGAGGCATTTTACTAAACCTCGCATGTGTTGCAGTGGACAAAAACTGTTGAAATTTAGGTACTGTCCAGTCCACGTCGGCTTTCTATAAACAGACCGCTTTATAGTTCCATTATCTCTTCGGTAATCTTTAAGCCTAGGGTAATGTGACAATTTTCCTACCCCTTCTTATTCTTTTCATATTACGTTAATTTTCTCTCTCCTTTATTTACAATTATCACCCTATGTCTATTTGAACTTTTATTTAATTGACCTTTTATTCATCTTCATATAAAATGCCTTGACAAGTAAATATGTGTGGACCAGATTGTTCGAAATGTATAGCGCAAATACATCACATTTTTCAGATCAATTACGTCTTCTCACTGTTCTATCAAAATACTTTAGTCTGGGTAATTCTTCAAAACTATTTTTGAACAATGAGTAAATAGAACGCGCGTATATATATATATATATATATATATATATATATATGAAGTTGTCAGAGTCCTTTTAAAAATGTCATAGTTTTTGAAGTGCTTGTAGTGCTAAAAAAGGAAAATGACGAAACAGTGGAACTATCAGCCACGAGTTGTCGGTAGAACATAGTTGTAATGCAGCCGTTTCATATGTATATAAAGTGTGTATAAAGTGTGTACACTTCACTCATTTGTCCGCGATATCTGCTAGATCATCGGGGGGTGTTAGTCTTCTAGATACTTCCCTTAATCGGAAACCTCTGAAACCAAATCCACTATAATACTTCCCCATCTATATCACACTAACCAACCAAGTGATTAATAAATCGTATGAGCTTTGACGGTTTCTTATCTCCTATCTCACACGCGGTTAAGAATTGTTACAGCTTGTCACTACACTGACTCACGCTCAGTAGCTGTTACCCTAAGTTCAAAATACTAGATGTCTCCAGACAGCTGTCTATTAAATCTCCAACCTCTGCACCGATTTCAGTCGGTAGAGTACCAACTAAGTGTGCCTCTCTGATTACCTGAGGCCTTATTCCACGTGCCAAAAGCTTCCATTTTGGGTTACCGGAAGTCTGAACCCAGAGATGACATCAAAAGTGGTTACCGTCAAACCAGATAACTGAAAGAAATCAATGAGAATATTTACAGCACCGTATTGTGTCTCCATATTATCACTGGGCTTTATATGTAAGTGAAAGAGTTTGTTGATGGTATGGCTGGAAAAACTGAACATTAGTATTCTTATAATCCCCTAATTATTGTTTTGAAGAATGGTTATCTAAAAAAGACTTGAAGAATTGTTTATGGAACCAGTCGGAGCGTTCAAAGCCATCGATGATAACTGAAGACCAATCTAAAATTAATCAAATGGTATAATGGCAGTTCTGTATATTGAATGAGTTGTAGAAATACATTGTCGTCTTTGAATGTAGGTATGTGGTTAAATTTCATGTACATGTTGAAAACTGTTTTCAGATAGTTCCAAAGACAGTGGATAAGAATTCGTACAGTTGAAGAAGATTATTGCAGTGAAGCGATCCTAGAGCTGGGAGGACAGGATACATTAGGAACTGATCCGATTCGTCGAAATAATTGATGACGCTGTAGAAATTAGCATGCATGCTATTCGTGGAATATTCGATTTCGCTTGGGGATGAATTATTTCTCCACTTTCATCACCATAAGATCATAAATATAATGAGACTGAAGAACCAGAGAATTCGAAGTTACATTAGTTGTTAATTCTTAGTAGCTTATCGTGTACAGGAAAAAATATCATCGGAATGGAATTTTGTGCGTTCACAGAGACGTCAGATGGATTGTAAATAACCAAGCGAATAGGCTTAATCCGGTGTGTTTCGAAGGATTGCTTTATTGAGTTGTGGAGGTTCTCATAGTTGACGAGGTCAGTCGCGTCCCTAGGATGCGGGTCGAGTGGATGTTAGGGATTATAGAAATGGAACTGCCATCAGATTATTTCCTAATGAATCTATTTCGATGGACGCCTTAAAGGAAAATGATGAGTTTATTCAGATTTGGCAGTAAGTATTGACTGAATATTCGTAACCATCTTCTTCTGAATGTTGTTCTTATTCTATCCGGGTTACTAAAGAAAAATCACTAGTGTGCAGAATAATAAAAACGCTTACTCACTTCCGAACGTCTGCTAACCCTTGGGAATTATAGACCGACTTTGTTTTGAGCTTTTATGTCCGTGGTTTCTATTCACTCCTTTAACATTATCCTCTAATTCTCTGTACACTATGTTCTTTTGTCTGCCTCTTCCTTTTGACTTGAGTATTTCAAGTTAGGGTTTGTATTAAGATGGAATTGATGACTTTCGAAGTGTGTATCAAATAAATGTCTGAAAAATGGACCCAAAAATCTGTTGTTATTGACCATTAATTTTCAGCCTTTTCACTCCGGCGATAACCTTAGGGCGGTCTTATATTCTTTCAGAAAAGTGTATAAAATAAACATCGCTAGCTTCTAAATGTAATTTATATTTAGGTAGTTTAACTAGGAGCTTGATTTTATTTATATATGAAGATTTTGTTGTGGTAGAACAGCAGCCGTATTACCGGTAGATATTTGTACAAAGAGGTAGTGGAAGAATATGAATGGTAGACGGGATGACCTTTTTATTCCCAAAGATTCAAAAGAAAATGTCCTAGAAAACACGTATTATGAATTACTGTAAATAATAAAAATTACAACAACTGAAGGCAATATTGACCACAGAAACAACATTCCGAACGAGCGACTGGGCAAATTACCTGTCTGTAATATCCTTCCTATAGTTTTGAATCAGTGTGAAGGAACTATCTTTATGCTAATATGCCATACGCTCATGTACTTATTAGAGTTTCAAAAACTTTTGGAAGAGTGGGACTAGGTTGCTCTTTTCCACTATTAAAAGTTGGTTAGTATCCCAAAGCAAGCGTCAACAGATTTTCTAGTTTATATCAGCCTAGGAAAATGAAATTGGATATTGGACATTAGGGTCGATTTTGAAGCTGGATTACTCGCGCGGTTTCACAAGCAGGCACGTTGTTTCAGGAAATGAATGAACAGTTAGTTTTTCGAGGCACTCTAAGTGGACACCGTGGCTGGGTTACTCAAATAGCAACAAATGCTACCCAGCCGGATCTTCTTGTTTCAGCTTCTCGAGGTAAATTTTACGAGTGAATTGATTTTTTCAGATAAATCCTTAATTGTTTGGGACTTGAGGCGTGAAGCTGGAGAGTATGGATTACCTGTGAGATCTCTACATGGGCATAATCATTTTGTCAGTGATGTGGTTATGTCATCTGATGGTTTATATGCTTTGGCAGGGTCATGGGATCGCACCCTGAGATTGTATGATTTGGAAACTGGGAAAACAACCCGCCGGTTCTGTGGTCATGAAGGAGATGTGTTAAGCGTGGCGTTCAGTGCAGACAACAGACAAATAGTCAGTGGATCACGGGATAAGACTGCGAGGTTGTGGAATACTTTGGGTCACTGCAAATATGTATTCAACGATGGCGGCCACACTGACTGGGTCTCATGCGTTCGGTTTTCTCCAAACACAGACCACCCTATTGTTGTAACTTGCGGATGGGACAAGCAAGTTAAAGTAAGTGTCTTTTTGTTTTCCTATTTACCTTTCCAGGTTTGGGGGTTAAGTGACTGTAGTTTACGGACAACACATTATGGACATACTGGTTATCTCAATACAGTGACAGTTTCACCTGATGGGTCTCTTTGTGCTAGCGGAGGAAAAGATGGGCAAGCCATGCTGTGGGACTTAGCGTTAAATAAGTTCTTGTATACGCTACCGAGCGGCGGAGTAATTAACGCCCTATGCTTCTCTCCAAATCGTTATTGGCTTTGTGCTGCAGTTGGATCTAGCATCAAGATATGGGATTTAGAAAACAAAGTCCTGGCCGATGATTTGCGCCCTGAAATGATCTCAGGAAACTCGCCAGCAAAACAATTGTCGCCAGATTGTACTTGTCTAGCGTGGTCTGCTGATGGTCAAACCTTATTTGCTGGGTTCACAGATAACCTCATTCGTGTTTGGCAAATGGCGTAATAAGTCATAAGTATAATATACCGGTTGGAATAAAGCTGTTTTTATTTTTTCCGAACAAAGTTGTAAGTGTTATATTTCGTGGAAAGATTTCTGGGGAACCCCATCACTTAACGCAATTTAATTTTCTTTCACGGCATGCAGCCCAATCACAGCTTTCTTGATTACTTTAAATTCTTATGCAACAAAAAGAGTGAATTTCAGTAGACCAGGCTATCCTATATTATAGTAATTGACAATTAGCAATTATGTTACTAATTATCTCTAACTTATTAATGCGTTATAAGAAGTCCAACTACGGTACCCCAGTGTTCACCGTAGTATAGCTCTGCTTTTTTAGAAAAGAATTTCGGCTGTCGTAACCTATACAATAAACAAACCATGTGTGTTCCTGACCATTTGCGAAAGCTCAATAGTTTCTAGGATTAACCTTAATCATCAGGCTCAGATTAGTTAGAGTTAGAGAGTTACTCAATCAATTGGTTTTATGTGGCTAATTCGGCAATCAAATCACTTAGAAACCTATGGAGAACGTGAAGTGCATTGTAGCCAATCGTAGTTGCACCTAGTGAGTACCGATGTGATTTTGTTACTTATAAATGTTAACTGATAGGGATGTCTCCTCGATCTCCACGAGTTTTTTTGTGAACCGCAGTAGTAATTGTGTCCTGTTCAGCTGTCCTCGCTGATTAGTTTAGTCCCACACATCAACTGTTCTGAAAGTTTGTTTACTGTATTTAGACTTCCTATGCTCTGATTTGAAAACGTGTAACTGCATTTTTCTATCGGTATTCGTTAATTCAACACCGTACATTATCGTGCGAATATATGTGTATATGAAGCAGCTATCAGTTGCTGCAAAATATTATTCTACCTATTTGTAATCATTGTAAATGCAAATCTTTACACTCCATCCTCAGGCTATATTATCAATGCTTAGTCTTTTTCCTTATCGTTGTTACTTCCTTATTTTCCGTACTCAGTTAGTTACAACGAAGAACTTCGTACGTACGTACGTACATCAGCTTAGGTTGCCATACCGCATTAACACAGAGGCGCAACTGTCAGTTCAAATTCAATAGTGGTAGCGATAGTAGAAGTATTGGCAGTAATGGAGAAGATTAGGTTTCGAAGATATGGTTAGCGAAGTATTATTTAGTGAGATAACTTTGGAAAACGGAAGATAGAGATCATGAGAAATCCAGAAGGTTAGAGATTTAGAGAACACAACGAGTGAATGCACCTGCGCCGTTGCAAACGATTTTGAGCCATATCGTTCAAGGTCCCTAACCATCGATTATTATCATCTTGCGGACCCCAACCAGGCAGTCTTCATCTAACAACGTGACTCCATTCACTTTGTCAGTGACTTTATGGATTTGTGTCATGTTTTTGTTTGGTCACCTCCAGCTATCTTCCAGCCTGTCTTACACCACGCATAATCGCTCGTCGAGGCAGTCGGTGGTTGGCCATTCGAAACACATGTTCCAAGCACCTCAACTGATGAAGTTTCACTACTTCATGAATTTATCTGTCATCCCTACCTAGTACTCGTTTCCTACCGATAGCATCGCTGACTCAGCTGTCTCAGGATATACGAGCGATATTACGAAGACACTGATGATCGAATACTAGTAGCCTGAGAATATCTTCTAAGCTTAGTGGCCATGTTTCACACTTGTATAGTTGGACGGAGCAAACTGCTGCACAGTAAACTCGTCCTTTGGTTAGCCAACGGATATCACGGAACGGTGTAAATTGACAAAAGCAAATCGATCTTTCTGTATCTGCGCTGAGATTTCGTCAGTCACCAGGCTATCAGCGCTGATGAGACTCCCCAGATAAATGAAGTGATCAACACGCGCGACTACTTCACTCCCTATCACTAGTTCAGGTGCCGATGCAACCCAGTCTTGAAGCAACATTTTGCATTTCGAGGGAGAAAACCGCACCCCGAACATGCTTGCATTGTTGCGCAGGATAGTCAGAAGACTGCATTTTGTCAGCGTCTTCAACGAATAGGACCGTCATCAGCACACTAAGTCAGCAAGCGTATCTCCTGGTAGGAGGTCTACCTCCGAAATGTCTGACGAGGATAATGTTGACTCAAAGCAAATATACGACAAAGTTAAACGAGAATGGAGTGAGTTGACAGTCCCGAAGTAACTTAATCAGATGACAGTTCTCCGTAAGCTCTTACTCGACCATTGGTGTTCGAGTAAAGAGCTTGTTTAAGGCTAATGTACTTCCTTGGTACACCTTTCAATTACAGACACTGCCACGAGCTTCAGGATCAACGGAGTCGAATGCAGCTTTAAGGTTGAGGAATACTACTATTATGGGATGTCGGAACGTGTCTTTGTTATAGGACCTGACCTAGTGTGGATATCTGGTCTATACATCCATGTCCAGGTCGAAAACCAGCCTGGTTTTCTCGAATCTGATCTTCACGAGTTCTAGTTAGGCGTCTAAGGATAATCGAGGCTAACAATTTAGAAACTATATTAGTTAGACTGATTCCCCTGTGATTGTCGCAAGAAGACGTTTGTCTTTTCTTATAAGTTCGGACAATCAGCGATTGAGGCCAGTCAGATGGGATTACGTCTAGTTCCCAGATTCTACCTAGGATCTCGGTCAGTCTAACCGTTAAAACTGGACCACCATCCTTAAAAATCTCAAGGGTAAGTATATCAGGTCCTGCTGCTCTCCCTCGCTTCAGATTTCCTACAGCATTCTCAACTTCATAAAGACTCGGAGGACTTATATTGATTTGCCATTGAGGATGACTGGAGATCGTGGGCAACTGGAGTGTGGCTGAAGGCCAGTTGAATTGATCCATAAAGTGTTCTTTCCTTCCATCCAATCTCCTGGATTGAGAATGAATTGTACAGCCATCCTTTTCCGAGATAGTCTTACATACAGTCGTGTTCCTAATACCGGTTTCCTTGATAAGTCAGAACAACTGTCTGCTGTTCCCTATCACCGCTGCTTTTTCCATCGCCTGCTTGGGCATTAAAGTCACCAGCAATCATTACTGTATTAGAGCGTCTAACATTTTGCAGTTGGTCTGAAAGCTTTCTGAAAAACTCATCTTTCACTTCGTCTGAACTGCAGTCAGTGGGAATGTAGACAGATACGACGAATAGGCAACGGTGAGTCTCCCTATCTTTCCGAGTCCTTACTGTCTCGTTCGGTCGGACAGCGCACAAGCGACTATCTACAGGGATCCGGTCTAGGAGAACTAGTTCTGCCCTAGGACTAAATGCTATACATACACCAGCGAGACCCCGGGAAGCAGCATCAAGGCTTCCAAATACACGAAGGGTAAATCGAGTTGGTTTTTTTTATCTTGACAAGGTTAAATCAAATAATGGTTTTACTAGGATCCTGTATGCACGTTTCCGAGAAGCAGCATACATCAATGCCGTGAGATTCTAAAGTCTTAGCTAATGAAGCCTGTTGCCCTATTTGACACAATGTCCGTACATTGAATGCTCCGACATGTAGTTTAGAACGGAGTTTCAGGAGACCAGAAATAACGTTTCGGGAACTCGAATCGTTTGTAGCAGAGGTGCGGGGTGATAAAAGAATGTGAGAAGAGTTAGTGGTGAAGATAAGGGGGATGTTAGGGGGTGTAGGAAGGATTTGTTTGTGACCGATTTGGTCTAGCGTGCTGTTACGGGTATGAGGGCGGATGCCACTTCCCGGCTGCCCACACTGTGGAATGGTGTTTCTTGAGGAACCTGAAAAGGAAGGTAGATTACTATAGATCTTAGAGACCTGGGAGCTTGACCACAGAGCCCAAGGTACCGGTTATGCACGACCTTTTTATGCGAGGGTTTTTAGAGTATTAGCTCCGTTCTTGTTTAAAAGGCAAATCCGTGAGGTAGGGTGAGGTGTGACATTTGTTGGTTGTCCGAGGAAAATACCTTACAGCTGTCATACCTCTCTGCAGTCAGCAGTACGACTTCGCCCTCCGACATTGAGTAGCTGCTTTTAGTCTCATCGTTCTCCAATCGACCTGTCTGGCATGGTAGAACGTACGCGAACATAAGTTCCAGCCAATATAGCTCGGTTGGGTCATGATGATAGGCAAGCCCGACCCCTACGTCAAGGTAGCAGCTACGGTCGGGATTTTCCCTACTAATCAGATATGACAACCCAGGCCAATGTACATCTGTGCCAAGTCCTACGTTCATTCATTTGATATCACAGTATGAGCAGATTTACCAAATAAACATATTTGATTTTCAGAACACTGGTAACAATACTCTGATGCAGTCACCTGGTTATTTGCATTGATGTTTCCTTATAGTTGATTACTGGATTCATTGCTTAGTGACTCCTGGAATTCATAACAACTCCAGTTCAATTACAGTGTGACATTTTCAGCGATCAAGTCAGGCTTAGATGAAGTCTGACCCTTACACTGTTAAAATTCTTTTCCAAGTCAGTTTAGAACAAGCTGTTCTTAAGCTGACCTTTGTGTTGTTATAACATTAGAAATCACTAACTAAAGAAGGCATTGTGGAACTCACATAGAAAAGAGTATCGCAACAGTAATATCCAATTCTTACCCCAGGGGACATGAAAGATGCTTCTCCACTCACTACCAGAACTCAATGGAGTAATCATCTCTAATTTAAATACGTTTTTTCTTCTTACCTCCATGTTGCATAGCTTCTCTGAATCTTTCAACCCGCTATTATGATCATGTGAATAGCAGGAACATGAATACAGGAAATAATCGTTCTGAAACAACTAGCATAAATTAACATATATTGTTAGTAAATATGACCAGTAGATAGGAGTCTTCGAAACGATTAAAGTCGAGGAGGGCTCGTCGGGTAGTTTCGAAAGGTACAGACAGGGGAGAAGACATGCTAAGCCGCGGAAAGTCATAGGCAGCAACAAGGCCAAACAGATGTTTTAATCATGAACTATCTTCCAATACTTTGTCTAGTGGTGGATGGACTGTTTGTTTAAGGTTGTCGAGTCAGAAAAACTCACCAGTGTTGATAAAAGACGTCCTGTAGTTTACTGGATTGATTTTGTAAATCTTATGATCTGAAATAAGAAGCATCTGCTTCGTTAATTGTGACTATCATAATGAGGTTACTAAGCAAGTGTAAATCGCCTATTCACCGTTACTTAACTCGTCATCCAAATAATCATATTCTGGACGAGATAACAAGAACAGTTTTAAAGAGAGCAGAGCAAACAATCGATCTCAGGCAATGCTGGTCTTATGATTCTTTGGAATCCTACAAAAGTGCTGGAAAAAATATCCCAATCTACACATTTTGATATTTTTTAGCACAGAGAGAAATCTATGCTTCTCTTATTCTTAGTTATAGTAAATAGAATCAATATCGGGAAATGTTTATATTAGAAAAATCAACATCTTCAAATGAGAGAGTTGGTGAGGAATTGATGATTAATAGTGCAGAATACTCTTGTAGACCACTTGATGAAACTAGTTTTAGCAACTCTATTTCCACTGCCACACTGCAACTATTATTCATTATTTCAGGTCAACACAACTGCATTGTATCGCTAGATCAAAATGACTTCACAACGATGTATTAAATAAAAAGACAGGAAAAGCAGTTACTACGATTAAAAGAGAAGGCAGTTACTGCTTCTGGTGATATAATTAGTACATTTTTATCATACGGATTTCCATACCCTAGGGGATGTAATTGATCAGAACAACAGATTTTATGGATGGCTGGAAACCACCTTTCTTATGTTACGGGTATGAGAGCGGATGTCACTTCCCGGCTGCCCATTCTGTGAGAGAGTGTTTCTTGATGAACCTGAAAGGTAGATTAGTGTTGGTCTTAGAGACCTGGGATTGCGACTGTAAAGCCCAAGGGACAACTGCTTGAGGCCGGTCACGCACAGCCTTTTTATGAAAGGTTTTTTGAGTATTAGCTCGCTCCCAAAAGCCCTTCCCGACGGAGACGGAAATCCGTGAGATAAGATGAGGTTTGACACTTTAGGACCAACATTTATAACCCTCCCTTCCTTGTGAGAAGGCAGCATCACTATATATGCTGGTTGTGCAAGGGGAACGAACACCTTACTGCTGTCGCAACCCTCTGCAGTCAATGGTACGACTTCGCCATCAGACCTTGAGTGGATGCTTTTAATCTCATCGTTCTCCAATCGACCTGCCTTGCATGGTAGAACCTATAGGAACGTAAGTCCCAGCCAGTATAGCTTGGCTGGGTCATCACGATAGGCAAGCCCGATCACCACGTCAAGGTAACAGCTACGGTCGGGCAATATAACTGCTAATACTTTTGCTATCTCTACCACTATGGGATTCGAACTGACAGTTGCGTCTCTATGCAGATGCGGTATGGCAACCTGAACTTATGTATTCATGTACAAAGTTCTACGTTGTAGCTAACTGACTGATTTTTGTTCTAACTTGAACTCATATAAATTGCTCGTTGATCACGCATCAGTATTACATCATAAATGTCCACCGCCTACTCTCCATTGCTATTATATTTCAACTTAGACAGATGCACGAATAAGCTCAATAGTGTGTTGTGGTTCTTTTGGCAATGATGCTTTTATGTCTAAGTTCAAATACTGTAAACAACTAGGTTCCAAACTGTCTGTGTCAACATTTAAACTAATGGTGTAAAGCAAAGTAGTAGTTGAGCACTTTAGTTATCTTGTAATTCCAAACAAAGTGTCGGTATGATTTAGTAAACTTTTGCCAACCTTATCATCACTTGTCATACAGACGATGTCTACATCACCAAACAATGGACAAGTTTACTACTTTGAAAACTACCCTATCCTTGAAACATACTCTACCAAATGGAGTATATGAGTAGACTGCCAGGTTTTTCGAATTACTACTGGTCGCGTACTGTGGAACGGATAGAGTGATCAGTGTCAAGATATTAGGCAAAATTTCACAGACCCGTTTGTAAATCTTGATCGATGTATTTCCTATTAACATTCTGTTGTTAAATTATTTCTGATCGCTTTGTAATTCTTCATTTTTAAAAATTCTTTCTGCTAAAATACGAATGTGATTCGGGCAACTTGTGTTCCTATGTTGGTAATATAAAACTGAATGACTTATACCAAAATAATTGTCAATCATTTGGGAAATAAAATAAAACTAAGCTATTGTTCACTGAATATTTTTATTAAAAAAATTACAAACAGATGGTGTACATGAAATTGAATGACAACGAAAACATCAACAACACGAATTATTTTCTTAAGTTAAAATAGATTTTGTATCCACTTCGACAAGACTTTTCATACCTTCAACTGCAAATGACCATTCTTTTAATCGAGCACACATACTTCCAATCTAAAATATTATAACAAGAAACATAGTTCATAGTATTGAAAATTAAAAGAATTACTTAAGTTCATTAATTTACACAACTGTGAATGTAAGAATCAAAATAATTACGGAGATAAAACCGAACATGAAGGAAACAGTGGTTAGTAGAGCAAATACATTCATATTTTTTTTCTCCATTCAATACAAAACTGAGTCTCGACCGTAGCCGCTACCTTGACGTAGTGGTTGGGCTTGCCTATCGTGATGACGCAACCGAGATATATTGGCTGGAACATATGTTCCTGAAGGTTCTACCATGTCAGGAAGGTCGATTGGAGAACGATGAGATTAAAAGCATCTACTCAAGGTCTGATGGCGAAGTTGTACTATTGACTGCAGAGAGGTGTGACAGCAGTAAAGTGTTTCCCTTGGACAACCTGCATTTGCAGTGATGTTGCCTTGTCACAATGGAAGGGAGAGGTTAGGAAATGTCACACCTTATCTTACCTCACCGATTTCCATCTCCGTTGGTAAGGGCTGCCCAATAAGGGCTTTAAAAAGAGCGGAGCTAATACTCTAATCACCTTTCACAAAAAAGCCGTGCGTGGGCGGCCTCAAGCAGTTGTCCGTTGGACTCTGCGGTCACACTGCCAGGTCGTTAAGACCGACACTAATCTACCTTCCTTTTCAGGTTCCTCAAGAAACACCCTTTCACGGTGTGGGTAGTCGGGAAGTAACATCCGCCCTCATACCCATAAAAACACACACAAACAATCAAATCCTTTCTACACCTCTTAATAACTCTCTTATCTCCTCGAACAACTCTTCTTTCGATAGTTTATCACCTCACGCCACTGAAGCAAGAGGTATGAGCTCACGAAACATAATTCCCGGTCTCTTGATGACTCAGACTGAGCTTCTACAGTCTATGAGGTACAAGCCTTGATAATATACAATCTAACTAAGCATATGTATATATCGCCATGAACAGATTGCGATCTACACATATTTTATGAAGATTAACCAGGAAAAACAAATCTGATGTACCTTAACTTCTACACACACACACACACACACAAGCCAGTAGGAATGAGTTGTAAATTCAATTAAATAGTCAATAACAACAGTGAATGGAATATATCGCTAATATGTAACATTTCACTTATACAAACCAACTAATCTACAAGATTTATTCATGCACTTATTTCCCTTCAGAGAGATGGAGCAATAAAAGAATAAAACCAGACTAATATGAATCCGTTTCGTTGTGTTAGGCTTTTGTCAGCTGATTTTACAACCTATACTATTTTAACACTGTAAGTATCATAAAATTAATATACTTATAACAACAATGAAATTGGTTAGATAGATGAGGTGTATCATGTAATAGCCGAAGTGAGATCTTTCCTTCTGTCCTTATATACATGTAGATTTATGCACAATACTGCTAATTCTCATCAACAGAAAAACAACATGTAATAAATTCAGAAAGCTTTTAGTACTGCATCAAAGCATACCACTCCCCCGCCACATTTGGTAATAACATCCACATATACTAAGCTTTTATGAATGTCAATTTTTTGTATTAAAACATGGCCAGTGAAAGTAGAGGATATTCGTAGGTTACTTGTTTTCGATCATGGGTGGGGCAACCGAATTGTATCTTAACGAAAATTACAGAGTTACTCAGTAAAATTGGAAAACCATTTCGTAAATTGTTCATTTGCAAAATATCAGTTCATCATATCGAACTGGACTGTTCCTGTTGCAAAAGATCGATCCAATGTCACTGTTCATGCGTTTCATACAAATTCTATTGTTTTCTAACTCTTCCTTTCTTGATCTCTCCTCATCTTCCGCTGCCAGACATTACGTTGACACTCACGTCATATACTACTTATAAGTAGCTCACACCACAATAGGTGCCTCCAAAGCATTGCTCGAGTATCGTGGGACAACCGAGTAAGCGATACTGTTGTTAGTAAACAGGTGCTAGGTAAGAATGGCAGGTCAGTAGATGAAGTGCTAAAACTTCATCAGTTGAGGTGGTTGGGACATGTGTTACGTATGCCTAATCACCGACTGCCTCGTCAAGCTTTGTTTTGTAGTGGAGGAATAGGCTGGAAGAAAGCTAGGGGCGGCCAAACCAAAACATGGCAGAAATCCATGAAGTCATTAACGAGTGGACTTAGCCATGTCGGTAATTGTCGACTACCTAGTTGGGGTCCGCGAGATGATAATAATCGATGGCTAGATACCCTGAATGACTGGCTCAAAACCGTTTGCGATGGCACCGGTGCATTTATTCTTTGTGTTCTCTTAAATCCTAATCTTCCGGATTCTTCAACCTCTCTAGTTCTGACTTTCTAAACTTTTCTCATTTAATCATACTTCTTGAATAATATCTTCTAATCCTAACCTCTCCGATTACTTCTAATACCTTTACTAGCTGTTCTACTATTGGATTTGAATTGACAATTATATCTCTGTGCTGATGTGATATGGCAACATGAACTGATGTACTTACGTACGAAGTTCTACGTTGCATCTGACTGATTGACTGTATTGAAAATAGTCTAATTAATTAACTTACTTGTTCTTTGTCTAAAACACGAGGTTGTAACCATGTAAGAGAAACGCATTGATTCACTTCATCAATACGTCCTTTTATTAATTTTAATGAAAGTGCCTTCATTAAGAAATGTTCAACCTTAGAAAAAAAACAAAATATTTTTATTCAGTTTTAAGTATTATTGGTAGTAGTAAGAAAGATATAATAGTGAAAGAAGTCATTGATAACTGAAATGAGTCTTATTTAACAGGTATATAGACTACTCCTTAGTCTGGTTCATATGAAGTAGGGAAACTCCATCAGTTGAGGTGGTTGGGACATGTGTTACGTATGCCCAACCACCGACTGCCTCGACGAGCTATGTTTTGTGGTGGGGCGGTCAAACCAAAACAAAGCAGAAATCTATGAATTCACTGACAAGTGGACTGAGTCATGTTGGTAGATGTAGGCTACCTGGTTGGGGTCCGCGAGACGATAGTAACCGATGGTTAGAGACCTTGAACGACATGGCTTAAAATCGTTTGCGATAGCGCAGGTGCATCAATTCTTCGTGTTCTATCAAATTCTAATCTTCTGATTTCCTCAGCACCTCTATTTTTCTTTTTCTAAAGTTATCTCACCGAATTATACTTCTCAAATCATATCTTTGATGCCTAATCTTCTCCATTACCAGTAATACTTCTATTATCTGTACCACTACGGGATTTGAATTGACCCTGAATGACATGGCTCAAAATCGTTCGCAATGGCTCAGGTGCATCGATTCTTTGTCTTCTTTCAAATTTTAATCTTCTGAATTCCTGATGACTATTTTCTCCCTTTTTAAAAAATCGATTCCCCTGGGATATACTTCTCGACCATATACTTCGATCACTAATTCTTTTTATTATTGCTAATACTTCTACTACCCCTAATACTATGGGATTTAAACTGACAATTCGATCTCTCTGTGTGCTAATATGTCGATTGGAACACTGATGTACATGCGTACAAAATTCTCCATTGTGTAGCTGCTGACTAATAACACATTCAAAATAATCGACTTATTCATTCAGTTAAAAAAATTTCACTCTAAATTATCTCTTTTTTCCAACTACTTACTTTATCAATTGGAACTCTAGTAGTAGATGAAATTTCAGCAAATGTTAAAGTACGTTGATTAGTTGGTCGACGAAATATCATTTCAACTAAACATAATAAAGTGACTTTATCTTTTAATTTTGATTCAGCTGCAACTAGATCCGCTTGAACAGACCAACAACTACGCAGTCGATCCAATTGATTTAAATCACCTCTATTGAATGCTTGCAATAAATCAATAAGCCATGCTTGTGATGAACCTTGTAAACTTTTCAGTACATCATGAGTTAGCTATGAAGTAAGAATTTAAAAAAATATAAATAAATAGGTTTTTCAATTAAAGTTATCAAGATTAGTGTCTGTTGCACATTTGAAACTGTTGGGGATGTTAGATCCCCAAAAATTCGCTTGATAATGCCGTATTTTGGTTTTCACGTTCGCCAGCAGGGGCTGATCAAATGACCTTGAGACTTCAATTCCCACCAGGAAAATCAATGGCTGTGATTGGCTACAGTGTATTTTAGTATGCTATTTTCTTAACTGTCTCAAGGACGTTGTTATGTTGTATAAATAAACGAGAGTTGTATGCTTGATTGTACTGGGATTGCTGGGTGTTTGTAGAATATACTTTCTACGCTTACCAAGACTTCTGTTTTACCGTTTGGATGCAAGGTAGCCTTCCTGGAAGCTGGTAAAAGTATCGTTCGCGTTTATCGACTAAGGTAAACTCGTAATAGCATCAAGCATACTACTAAGTGCCGAACATATCAGTGGCGACGGGGCTCACAATTCACAATGTCAATTAATCTTGAACAGTTAGAATCTTTACTGGAACGTCAAGGTAAACGATATGAACAGTTCCAGGAACGTATGTTGGAGCTGTTAAGGAAACAAATGAATTTGAACCCACGAGATTGTTCGTTTTCTGAGACTGTTCAGACTTTAAGCCAACACTTTGGAGACAACTCGTCACTATTTAATACTCGTTATCGATGTTTGAAGCTTATTATGAACGAAGATGATGATTTTCTTACGCACGTGGGCATCGTCAACCGTGAATGCGAACGCTTTCGGTTGAAGTCTTTGTCCGAAGACCAGTTCAAAGCCCTCATTCTCATCTGCAGCCTCCAGTCGAGTAAGTTCAGTGACATTAGAACAAGGCTACTAAGTCGGTTGGAGCAAGATCCAAAGCTTACGCTTAATGATATGGCTCATGAGTACCAACGTCTCACTAACCTACAACGAGACTCGACTATAGTTCAGAGTGGTAGTTCAAGCCGATCTGAAATTCATTTGGTACAGCAGCCACCTAATCATTATAAGTCTGCCCATGCTACACCCAGTTCACCCCGCTCCAATTCGGCCCAAAAACCCAAAATGAATCCACCTTCTGCTTGCTGGCACTGCGGTTCATGGCACTATGTACGGAACTGCCCATTTAGGCAGCATAGATGCAGGAAGTGTAAAGTCATCGGTCATAAAGATGGCTTTTGCCTACAGAAAAAGCCAAAGCGATCCAGAAGTGCTAAGAAGCCTGTTCCTAGATCCAGTACCAATGCATTGAGCCTAATATCTTCCTGCCAAAGTTCATCACCAGGTGAGAGGAGATTTATTACTCTTAATATTAACGGTTATTTGTGTAGAATGCAAATAGATACTGCATCTGATGTCACTATCCTCTCACGCAAAAATTGGACCAAGTTGGGCAGCCCAAGCCTGCAGCACACAACACAAAAGCCTCGCACAGCATGTGGTAATTATCTTCGTCTGTTAGGACAATTGGAATGTAAAGTTGCTTTCCGGGATTCGTCGTTTACTGGGGTATGCTATATAACGCCAGCTGATCTAAATTTACTTGGTTTAGATTGGTTCGACCAGCTGAAATTGGCTGATGTCCCGCTAAATACCATATGCAACCTGGTATCACAACGACATGACCCAGAAGCGTATACGAAGAAGCTGATGACAGAGTTTTCAACCATTTTTGAACCTGGATTAGGTCGGTGCACTGCTATGAAAGCAACACTTCGGTTGAAACATGGGGCTAAGCCTGCTTTTCGTCCAAAGAGACCTGTACCGTATGCTACATTAGCAACAGTAGATGAAGAGCTGGATCGCCTTCAACGACAAGGAGTTATTACTCCCGTTTCTTACTCCAGTTGGGCAGCACCTATAGTCGTTATCAAGAAGGCCAACGGCACGATACGTATATGTGCTGACTTCTCTACAGGTCTCAACGCAGCTCTAGAACAGCACCATTATCCTCTGCCAGTCCCGGCAGATCTGTTCACTATGCTGAATGGGGGAAAGTTCTTCGCAAAGCTTGACCTAGCTGATGCTTATTTGCAAGTGGAAGTCGATGAAGCATCTAAAGAGCTGCTTACTATCAACACTCATCGCGGTTTGTTTCAGTATAACCGTCTACCTTTTGGAGTTAAGACTGCGCCGTCTATCTTCCAACAACTAATGGATACAATCCTGTCAGATATCCCAGGGGTTGCAGCTTATCTCGATGATATCTTGATTGTTGCGAAGACGTTAGAACAGCTACGGGAACGCACGACATTGGTACTACAACGCATCAGTGACAATGGTTTCCGGTTACGCCCAGAAAAATGCCAGTTTCTATTGCAGTCGGTAAAGTATTTGGGATTTATCTTTGATGCCGACGGTCGCAGACCGGATCCTGAAAACATCCGAGCTATCAAACTGATGCCTACTCCCACTAATGTTTCCGAATTACGATCTTTTCTCGGTTTGATCAGTTATTATTCAGCTTTTGTTCCCTCGATGCATGATATTCGCGCTCCATTGAATTGTCTACTGCAGAAGCATAGCACATGGAACTGGACTAAAGAGTGTGACGCAGCTTTTGGTCAACTCAAGTCTATAATTAGCTCGGAATTGTTATTAACACACTACGATCCATCCATGCCGATCATCGTAGCAGCAGACGCTTCAGCATATGGCCTAGGCGCTGTTATTTCACATCAGTTTCCAGACGCGTCAGAAAAAGCCGTTATGCATGCATCCCGTACACTGACCCCAGCAGAAAAGAAGTATAGCCAGATAGAGAAAGAAGCTCTTGCCCTTGTGTTTGCTGTTCGCCGTTTCCATAAGTTTCTGTACGGTCGGAGATTCACGCTCCTCACAGATCACAAGCCTCTGTTAGCAATATTTGGTTCAAAGTCTGGCATTCCAGCCCATTCTGCAAATCGTCTTCAGCGATGGGCCTTGGTACTTTTGGGGTATGATTTCGAAATCCAATATCGACGCACTCTACAATTCGGTCAAGCAGACGCTTTGTCACGACTCATTAATGATCAAGTGGCGGCTGAGGAAAACATGGTGATCACATCTCTGTCAGTAGAAGACCACGCAGAATGTTATCTGACAACCGCAGTTCGCGCATTACCGGTGTCTGCAACAGACATACAAAATGCTTCTAGAAACGACCCCATCATCAAGATGACGATGAAATACGCCGTCGAAAAAGTTTGAAGGTGACATGAAGCAACTGTATCAGCGGCGGGATTCACTATGAATCGTGAACGATTGTCTGATGTTTGGTGGAAGAGTAGTGGTTCCAGCATCCCTTCGTGCAAAAGTGCTGAGACAGTTCCATCTTGGTCATCCTGGGATTAAACGAATGAAGTCCATAGCCAGGAGTTATGCATACTGGCCTCACATGGATCAACATGTCACAGCGTTGGTTGAAAAATGCATCCGGTGTCAGCAGGCGGCAAAGATGAATGCCAAAATTCCGCCGGTTTCATGGCCCAAACCTGAGCATCCTTGGTCCAGGATACATGTCGACTTCGCTGGCCCAATAAATGGAACTATGTATTTAATTGTCGTCGACGCCTTTTCTAAATGGCCGGAAATCAGCCTCGTTATGCCGCCCACTACAACTAAGACTATACAGCTCCTTTCTGAAATTTTCTCAAGAAACGGCATACCAGATGTGATCGTATCCGACAATGGCTCTCAATTCACCTCTTCCCAATTCCAGAATTTCTGTCAACGGCTAGCTATTAAACACTTACGCTCGCCACCATACCACCCGCAATCGAATGGGCAGGCGGAAAGGTTTGTGGATACGTTTAAAAGAGCACTGCTCAAGTCAAAAGGGGAGGGGACGCCAGCCGAAACGTTACAAAATTTCTTGTACGTCTATCGGACAACACCAAATGAATTGTTACCGGAGCAAAAGTCCCCAGCTGAAATCCTGATGGGAAGAAGATTGAAAACGATCCACAGCCTGATGCATCCGACCAATGCACCCTCATCAGTAGAGACAAAGCAGCAAAGACAATCCGCTTACGAGGTGGGATGCCCTGTGTTTGCCCGCGACTACAGAACGAACCATGGTCCTTGGGTAGAAGCGAGAGTGGTCAGAAGGGTTGGTCGAGTTATGTACGAAGTAGAGGTAGGAGGTGATAAATGGTCACGTCATCGCAATCAGATACGCAGACGGCTAGCCCCAGATCGCCCATCAAGAGCAGAAAGCCTTCCCCTTGACATCTTGCTTGATACCTTCAACCTACCGAGAGCCCCGCCACGAGAAGAAACTCAGCAGCAAGCTGTTCTTCGTTCCCGAAGGTATCCCCTCAGACAGCGGCGAACAATAGTCAAGATGCAAGTCGACCCCAGGAGAACAAGCTATTAAAAAGGGGAGGAGTGTTGGGGATGTTAGATCCCCAAAATTCGCTTGATAATGCCGTATTTGGTTTTCACGTTTCGCCAGCAGGGGCTGATCAAATGACTTTGAGATTTCAATTCCCACCAGGAAAATCAATGGCTGTGATTGGCTGCAGTGTATTTTAGTATGCTATTTTCTTAACTGTCTCAAGGACGTTGTTATGTTGTATAAATAAACGAGAGTTGTATGCTTGATTGTACTGGATTGCTGGGTGCTTGTAGAATATATTCTACGCTACAAAGTCTTCTATTTCGATTCTGGGATTAAAACGAGAGTTGTATGCTTGATTGTACTGGGATTGCTGGGTGTTTGTAGAATATACTTTCTACGCTTACCAAGACTTCTGTTTTACCGTTTGGATGCAAGGTAGCCTTCCTGGAAGCTGGTAAAAGTATCGTTCGCGTTTATCGACTAAGGTAAACTCGTAATAGCATCAAGCATACTACTAAGTGCCGAACATATCAGAAACCTGGCAGAAGCACTGGACGGTCGTTTCGCGCGCAAGACCGAATGTCCCGGGTTCGAATCCTGCGAGGTGCAGGAGTCGTGGATACGCATTGCTGATGAGTAGTCCCATACCTCGACGAAACGGCCGTCCAAGGAGTAAATAAACTGTCAAAATAAGTCGAAACGATGTGGAAACAAGTATTGGAAATAATAGATTTGAGGACTGTAGTAGTAGTAGTTGTTGTCATAAGTACAAAGTTGACATAAAAAAATGATGGTTGGAGGATGTATTAAACGTTATACGCAAGCAAGGTTGATGAAAAACATAATTTGTGACCAATGCTGAAAATTTTTTCTGTAAACCTACGCGTCATAACTAAGCTTTAAGCATTAAGAAATTAGTAATATGATTATCATTGAATATAAATAAATGCAGCGGGAACTTTCAATCAGATCAAATGTCTTAGCCTTACACGACCGGATTGGACGGGTACTAAGAATACACCTAGGGGAGGTGAGTTGGAAAATCCAGATTCCAAATCGAATAGTGTACATGCAGTATCAATATATTCTTGATCAATGACTACAATGTGATTGCATCTCCTAATGTTACTCTGCTCCACAATCTTATGAATTGGATTTTCAAGTCAAAAGCTAGGTCAGTGGCCCTGTAGGGAAAACCACGTACCCAACTACGTGGTAACATTTAGCATACTGTATCGATAGTAAGAGTACTGTATAAGTCGAAGAATAAATATGAAACAGAATGTAAAGGTATTGAAAAAAAATTTTTTTGGAAAGCATACCAATTCACCAAAACTATAAACTCCATCACCAAGAATAGCCGCCAAGCCAACAGAAAATGCCCATCCACGTTGTTCTTCAACACTCAACTGGTCTAAATCTACACAACCAAGAAAACGAAGTGCTTCCTGATAGAATTTAGCATGTTGTCCAGTAATCTAATTAAAAGGAAAATTGGTCATTTGATTGATGTTAAAAAAGTATGAATGAGCTAATATAAAAAGATATACTCTATCAATCAAAGTCACACCTTAAGGTACATTTTATGCTTATTATTGATATTGACAGGGATGAGAAAGAATATACAGGTATATCATGCTATTTAGTAAAATGATCAACGGCTCACAGAATGAAAACACGTACTCAACATCTAGTAACACTTGAATACCACTCGAATAAATGTCTAAACATTTTCTAACAGTTTAACTCATCATATTACAATTCAGTAATCTGGTACCAGGGTCAGTCAGTTGCAACGTAGAACTTTGTACGTAAGTACATCAGTTCATGTCGCCATACCACATCAGCACAGAGATGTAATTGTCAATTCAAATCCAATAGTAGAAGAGTTAGTAAGGGTATTAGAAGTAATCGGAGAGGTTAGGATTAGAAGATATTATTCAAGAAGTATGATTAAATGAGAAAAGTTTAGAAAGTCAAAACTAGAGTTGTTGAAGAACCCAGAAGGTTAGGATTTGAGAGAACACAAAGAATAAATGCACCGGCGCCATTGCAAACGATTTTGAGCCATGTCATTCAAGGTCTCTAACTGGTACCAGGGAGTGAGAGATTCATCTTGACCAGACATTACTAGTTGAGCCTAGGTTTCTCTGTGGTGCGTTTGAGGACAGGGATATCTAACTTGCTCTTAAAATATTCTCGTATGGTCATACTTGAATAACCAATGAAAGAGAAGTCTTATTCGCCGTTTCTAGTCAAACTAAACAGGGTTCCTGAGTAAGAGTGCGAGGAAGAAACATTTTTTAAAGATGGAGACAGATGGAGAACGATTCGGAAGTAATTAAATAGTCTTGGTTACGCATCTCAGACAGTCAAGACTTTCCTCAGACATAACTAGACCTATTTACTGTCCAATCTGGATTAGTATATAAATGTTGAAGGTCAGCCAGTTCAACTGACACATGTGGTTTCACAAGAACTTTGGGCAAATGTCAAATTAACCTCCTGAATTTGTGGCGATATTTCGTCAGACACTAATCCATAACGACTGAAACTTCCAAGATAAATCAAATGGTTGATGTGCTTAACTAATCTACCTCCTATCTTTAGTTAAAATGTTCATGCAAGCCTCTTATGGAGAGGTGGCGTAACCAGTCAGTCAGTTACAACGTAGTACTTCGTACGTCAATACATCAATTCAGGTTGCCATACTACTTAAACACAGAGACGCAATTATCAGTTCAAATCCCATAGTGGTAGAGATAGTGTGGTGCGCGCTACTCTCGTGTATTGGCAATGAACCGTACTTTGTGACCATTTTACCGCTTCTCAAGTCAATTATCGCTTTTACCTCTCTTAGGAAATCTGCTCCTAACATCGGTCTCGATAAGCTTGTGGTTACCACGAACGGAAAATTTATCTCAGCTCCACTCATTTTTACAATACTGTTAGATACCCCCAACACCTCTAGCATATGCCCTCCTATGGTGTGGACAGCTAATGTACATGGTTTGATTGTCTTACATTGCTCTTTGTCTATTAACGATATTGCTGCCCCTGTATCGATCAAACACACAAACTCCCGTTCGTTTATGTACACTCTGGCATAAATTGCCCCTCTATCTACTAGTGCAAGAACCTCCAGATTCCTAGGGCGGAAAGAACACACGTTATAATGTTTCAAATATCTTCGTCGTCGTCTTCTTGGACAGTTTATCTTCCAATGTCCTTCAGCTCCACAAGCGTAACATTTATCGTTCCTTTTATGATCCACTCGTAATGCTGCTATCTCAAGCTCTAACTCCTCAATCTTCTTCTCGAAAGTATTCATCTCCTGCTTTTCGCACCCGACCGGAGCTACTGTTCGTGTCATCAGCTGACGAGTCACCTTCGCCAGTTCACCAATGTCCATAGGGTGCACTGCGTTTACTAGCCTCAGCTGCAAGGACAAGGCGGCAGGCACACTCTTGATAAACTGCGACGTCAACAACTGTGCCTCCGACTCCTCATCGATATTCCGCATCGCACGGAGCAACAATCTGGTGAGCTCCACAGCAAGCACCAGCGGGTCACCATCAGCCGACAGCCTCGCCAACCGGAACTCCTGTAGCGCATTCTCCCTGTCCACTGAGCTGTCGAACTCCGTCACCAGCCGCCCGGCGACCGTCTCCCGGTCAGCACCGTCCAAGCCGTCATATACGGCCTTTTCCCTACCTCTCAGCAGCGTCCCCAGCACCACCAGCTTCGCCTTCGGCTCTTTCACACCCACCAGCTCCGCAACGGCCTCAAACTCCTCCAGAAAGCTCCGCACATCTCCGTCCTCAAACTCCTTTGGCCATGGTATCTTCATCCTTTGCGTAGGCAGCGACACCAAATGTAGTGAAGGAGAACACTCGCGTCATATACTACTTATAGGTAGCGCGCACCACAATAGTAGTGTAGTTAGTCAACATCCAACATGCTTTTGCTAATTATATTATACCTACAACATGAGCTTTTGGATGCAAACCGTATTTAAGATTTTTTTCTAAGCATCAATTACAAATTACGGTGAATTGACTTGAAGAACAGTTTGTGATAATAACCCAATTCAATAATTTCCTATTAAATTCCATAGGTTGGGGTCCACGAGACGAAAGTCACCAATGGTTAGCACTTGCAATGGCGCAAGTGCATTCATTCGTTGTGTTCTCTCAAATCCTAATCTTCTGGATTCGTCAGCACCTCTACCTTTGTCTTTCTAATCTTATCTCACTGAATTATACTTCTTGAATAATATCTTCAAACCCTAGTCTTCTTCATTACCATTAATACCTCTACTATCTCTATCACTATGGAATTTGATTTGACATTTGCGTCTCTGTGTTAATGTGGTATGCAACCTGAACTTATGTACATGCGTACGAAGTTCTACGTTGCAATTGACTGACTGAAATTCCATAGGCGTGTTTTTGTTCCTGCAATCTTTGTGATCAATCAATTACAAATTACTAAAATATGCTTTATTTTAACAAGAAGACAATAGGCAATCTTACTTGATAATATCTTGAACTAAGTTGATAAAATCTTGAATGAACTGTATTAACACCTTCAATTTCATCTAATTGACTTTGTGTATTTTCAATTATTTGACGAGCATTCGGTAAATCATTCAATGCTGTTAAATAAATCATGCCAATAGTTGTATTGAATAGTATTTTAGCATCCATAGATTTGCCAGAAAACTGGAAGGGAATGAATCTTTATGAAGTTTTTTTTTTATCAACCAAATATTCCACAGTGTGTATAACAGACTACATAGCATACATAAGTGCCAATGCATAGGTAAAACGTTAACTATATTTGTAGACTAAAAACACTATTCTGCTCCGCCTGAGGCCCTTTTCTATTTATTGCCGGTCCCAAGTTTGGGTAAAGGAGGAGAATTGGGTATGGAGATAGCGACCCAATCCTGTAGAAAACCAACTCAAAAATCACTGAATAACCGGTTTAACAATATCAAAAAAGTTTAATACGGTATTTCTTCTGGATACTCGCAAACTCAATGAATTCAAGATAGCTCTCAGCATTTACTCAGTGAAGAGGAAACTATTATAGAGAACAAATGAAAAGGTTTCCAGGAGGCAATCACTTCAACATGTCATGAGGTTCTGGGACACAGGAAGCACTATCACAAGAAATGGATTCCTGTTGATACGCTACACTGGATAGGATTCAAGAAAGGAAGGAGAGCAAGGCAGCAATCAACATCAACCGAACAAGAGCAGAAAAAGTCAAGGTAGAAGCTGAATGCACGTAACCAAACAAGGGAGTGAAGCAGAGCATTTAAGCTGATAAATGAAGATATATGGAAGACCTAGCAATCAAAGAAGGAAGCTGCAGGAGAAGGAGACACGAGATAACTATGTGATACAGAGAAGAGGCTTGTTGGAACGACCAGTCAAGAACGAGGAAGGTAAAGCAATCGCCGACATTGAAGAAAAGAGAAACAGGTGGGTAGAGCACTTTGAAGAACCCTCGGATCGACCAGCACCACTGAACCCACCCAAAAATCGAAGCAGAACCCACAGACCTCCCGATCAATATAGGCCTACAGTGGCCATCAAACAAATAAAGGGCGGAAAAGTAAACGCACCAGACAACACCCTAGCGGAGGCACTGAAGACAGACATAGCAGTAACAGGAAAGATGATCAACATTCTATTCAGCAAGATTTGGGAGGAAGAACAAGAACCAAAAGATTGGAAAGAAGGACACCTTATCAAAATAGCAAAGAAAGGAGATTTCAGCAAGTGTGAGAACTGCAGAGGAATCATTCTACTCTCAATACCAGGAGAAGTCTTCAACAGAGTATTTTTCGATCGAATGAAAGATTCAGTAGCTACCCAACTTCGAGACGACCAGACTGGATTCCATAAAAGCTCAGTCATCTACCGACCAAATCGCAACCCTACGGATAACTGTGTAACAATCAATTGAATGGAATTAACCACTATACATTAGTTTCCTTGATTACAAGAAAGCATTCGATAGCAGGGATATGATGATACTATGGCGTTTCTGAGAAGATAGTCAACATAGTACGGAATTCTTATGATGGATTAAACTGCAAGGAGGACAGCTCACAGACTCATTCGAAGTGAAGACCGGTGTCAGACAAGATTGCTCACTCTCACGGTTTCTCTTTCTCTCGGTGGTCGACTGGATTATAAAGATATCAACATCTCAAGGGGAGCAAGGGATACAGTAGACAGCTCAGATGCAGCTGGACGATCTGGACTTGGTAGATGATTTAGCTCTTATATCCCACACACAACAACAAATGCAGAGGAAGACGGCTATTGAGCAACAGCCTCTGCAGCAATAAGGTATCAGTTACAAACTTTGATGTAAGCAGATATTAGAGACAGGCATACACCAAGTGTGGGGAAAAAATAAACAGTGATTGAACTGATGTAATCAGAAAGTCTTACTTTGGTTAAACAGAAGCAACTTCTAACGGTATGTCTTTATTGTGACAAGAGACTCTTAAACGAATAAGCCGGTAGTGTTACTTTTCAAGTGTTATTTTAAGATGAAGTGAATTGAATTAGGTACTATTTGAATGTAAAATAACAGTGAAGTAATTAATACAATGGAAAAACTTAAAGCTCAATAACTGACCATAGAGAATGAATGACCCAATGCACTGGGAGATGAACAGAATTCGCTTTAGACTATGAGAGTAGTTTCCTTTTAAATACAGTTGAGGATTTAGGATTTCCAAAAAAAATAAGTTACTCCTATGGTAAACTTATTAGTCTATCAAACAGCCCTTGAAATCAGAACCAATAATAAATATCAGGAACTAACTATACATTAACGTGTTAGGGATTGTTGAAAAATTTAGTGACTTTTAAAAGGCATCAAAGACCAGTAATCACTAACTAATGAGTCACGCCACAATATAATCTAATTTAAATCGCTAGAAAGACTAGTACAGAACTATTTTTAATAGACTGATGTTGTCTTAACTTTAATTTGTTATTAATCAAAACTGGGTGGAGCTGAGAATGCCAAGTTTTGAGGAATGCATCTATTTACTCCAGTCATTGTAACTATTATATTGTTTGAAATACAGGAAGCTACATGACAACAAGACAAAATAATTTATACAAAAGATAAAGTAGTGAACTACCTCATCGCGAACTTCTTCAAGGAACTTGATACCTTGATGTGGATCTAACAAATAAGATTAGGTTCATTTGTATAAAATAATTAATGAATACCTGTAATAACATACTGTTCACTAATCGGAACGCATAATTCAGCTAAAGACAGTGGGTTGATTCTATTTTGGAAAGATGGAGTTTGCCAAAAAACAACAACAAACTTACTTGTATATAAAATCACCAAGAAAATTAGTACTGAGCTATATATAATGATACTTTTATTATTCGAAATAAATATATATTACCAGAATTAAATTTGTTTTTGATCGGAATTCAGGATTTTTAAGCAAGGATTCAAGTTTTAGCGTTAGTTGATGCCATAATCTAAATATGAAAACATTATTATAGGCATTACATAATTTACATAATATTTAAATTTATTTTAAACTAATGAGACTAAAAAACTTCTTTCATAGGCCACGACAATGATGTTATTGAGGTTCATCACTATGGTAATTAGTTGTTAAGCGAAATGACTTTTCTTCAGAATTTGAATATACTATGACAATTCAAGAGAGAGATTTCTACTGACTGAAATATATACTATAATCTAGGAAATCAGTCAGTCAGATGCAACGTAGAACTTCGTACGTAAGTACATCAGTTCATGTCGCCATACCACATCAGCACAGAGATGTAATTGTCAATTCAAATCCAATAGTAGAAGAGGTAGTTAAGGTATTAGAAGTAATCGGAGAGGTTAGGATTAGAAGATATTATTCAAGAAGTATAATTCAGTGAGATAAGTTTAGAAAGACAAAACTAGAGGTGTTGAAGAATCCAGAAGATTAGGATTTGAGAGAACACAAAGCATAAATGCACCGGCGTCATTGCGAACGATTTTGAGCCATGTCGTTCAAGGTCTCTAACCATTGGTGACTTTCGTCTCGCGGACCCCAACCAGGTAGTCGACAACTACCGACATGGCTAAGTCCACTCGTCAATGACTTCATGCATTTCTGCCATGTTTTGGTTTGGCCGCCCCTAACTTTCTTCCAACCTACTCCTACACTACAAAACAAAGCTCTTCGAGGCAGTCGGTGGTTCGGCATACGCAGCACATGTCCCAACCACCTCAACTGATGAAGTTTGATTACTTCATCTATTGATCTGCCATTCTTACCTAGCACCCGTTTCCTAATAACAGCGTTACTCACTCGGGTGTCCCAGGATACACGAGCAATGCTTCGAAGACACCTATGATCGAAAACCAGTAACCTACGAATATCTTCTACTCTCAATAATCTAGGAAATGATTGTGTTCAATGGCCAGATGGTTATAAGAAAAGTTAAAATCAACAAACAGATGAAATGAGAAAAATAAATGGATGTCTGAAAAAAAAGACGGTTGAATTATTGAGTCATTCTTTATTATTAGTGTTGTAACAAACCAGCAATCGACTAGATGGATTGCAAGTACGTAATTAATTAAGGATGATTACACCTAAAGAAATAACATTCTTACTTCATGCAAATATGATAGAGAGTATATTCATTGAGAGCTAATTACTACATCTGTCTAGAAGTCTCATTAATCCAAGTGAGTTAGTCTGGCATAATCTTGGCATGGATCCAAAAACCTTGGTTAGTTATTGCTAATATGCAACAATTATCAATAAAGTTTGCGCGTTACTTGTACTTGGCCAAATAAAAACTTAAAACAATGATAGTGTTTTTCGGAATTATTTAGAAAGCGATAATAAGGTTAGACACGGAACTAGACGGAGGTCAGTAGAGCTATGAATCTTCAACGGCCGATTGTACCTGATGAGCGTTTTTTTTGAAAATTTTTGAGGTGATAACATAACGACCAAATTCCTTACCAAACTTGTGAATGGTAGCAACCTAAGAGGAGCTCTGAGTGGAGTCTTCATCGACTGCGATATAAGTATGTCCGATAACTGCATAACTTAACGTCTAGTGTCTGATGGAGCACACTGGGAAGGAACTCGGGCAGGACAGACCAAGCCTATCAGGTCACTGTGAGTTAGTTTGAGCAACGCTGATAAGAACGGACTACCGGGTTTGGGTTGGCACGATTACTGTATTTGATGATCAGAGATATCAGATAAGTCTTGTCTACTCTTGAACCTTTAAAATCAACTAATACTTTGCGATTCGCCAAGTTATTTCAAATCATACTCTGTAAATCTTTTGAACTACAACTGGTAGTTATTTTCACTACTCTGATATTTGCGTTGGTGGTTTAACTCGCTACATCAATATGGCATTTGAAATTTAAGATTACAGACATTCGTCTTACGTTGTTTTATCATAACTGACTGTACTACAAGTTCACTGAACAAACCTCAAAGATCTGGTAGTAATTTTCAAGGATAAAAGAGGCTATCAAGACTTTTGCTAACCAGAAAGCTCTAAATTGCTCGTGAAAGGAAACCTAACATGTAACTAATATGTGATTTAGAACTCTACTGTTACCGCTAAATAGTTTTCCCTTAGTCTTATAAATGCAAGACAATACGAAGTGAATTCGCGCAACTAGCAAGGAAACTGCTACCAATACAGTAAACTAAAAAACAGCATAATCAAAAGGAGGGCTCGTATGATTATGAGATTAATTCTCCGGTAAAGATTTTCTAATATAGATACTACCGGTATGAGTAGCTAATCTCTAAAGGGTTATGCAATTAGACTCACCACAAGCGATTTACGAATCAATGTTTATACCTATTCATATTAAAGCACAATTAGACTAAGTTTTAAAGAACTAAGTACAAGACAGTCAGAAATCTCGGCGTTTCGAAATAAAGCACTACTTTCTGCTGAAATGAACTCACTTTTTGTTGTAAAAATCAGAAACTTCATTCCAATCATCTTGAAACGGTCCTGCTTCACTAATTCTGTCATTCAAATAATCTCGAACAGTCGATGGTGAGATTGACCACTCAAACTTCATTTTACTAAGATGAGAGTACCGCTGAGCTTAAATGTGCTACGAATGTACAATATACAATACCTTCGTAACAACTTTGAATCACTTTCAGTTGTAAAGGGTCAGAAAGCTGATTGACCTGCGCTAGTCCAAACAGTTATGATCTGTCGTCGGATCTAATTTTTTTCAGAATCCATCAGTAGATAGGGCTTTATTAGTGTGGAGAAATCCATTCGTTGATTATTCCATGGGTAAGTCTGTAGTAAAATATTCAATATCTTTTTGCACGATCTAGTATAAACCAGTTGATTTCTTCGCTCTCGATTCTTGTTCTTTCGGTACGGTTCCAGGTGCTTGGTAGTGTCCAATGAGTAGGGTCTAATGGAACTTTAGATCTTTGCATCGTCTGCGCAGATCAATGCCAGTGAGCTAACAGGTCATAAATGAATATCAGGAAGAGAAGTGGACATAAGATAGTCCCATGTGAAGTGCCGATGCTGAAACTCGCCAAATAACATGCACTCTCTCTACGCTGGAGTGAAACTTTTTATTCTGAAGGTAGTTTCTAAGCCAAGATAAGAGCGGTTCATTGAAGCCAATTTCTGCAACCTTCACAATAAGGAGTATATGGAGTACCGAATAAAGGGAAAGTATTTCACATGCGAATTTCTACTTAAATATTTAAAAACTGATCAGTTCATGTTCGATACTTTTATATGACAGAGGAAGCAGATTTAATTTAGCCGGTCTGTTACAACAGTCTTGCGATACGAAGAATAAGCTTCGCTGTGGTATTCGAACCTTTTCCATCACCTTACTTTCTCTATAAGACAGGTACTGGCTGATTGTTTATAGGTGCTCATATTTAGGACCAACAAATGGTGCATAAAATGTCAAAAATGTCCTAATATTGATATGACTAAAGTCTCTACAAATTAATTATAGGTTTCAAAAACATTGTCATTAAAAGGGTCCGTTTTACATCCGGGCACAAATGAGGTTTCCAAAACATTTTCACAATCACACTATCAGCTTATGGGTCAGCTACTCTCAGGTTTGTATCTGGTACCTATTGTTAAGTTTGGGATTACCATGAGGATCTTCCATTCTTTCGATAATCTGCTTTTGGGGAGACGCAAATTAAAATATATGCTTAATCGATATGCGATAAGATTTGCTTGCTGCTTAAGGGATGCATTTCTTCTCGTCCTATGGATGTACGTAAATTTAGGCTTGTATAACAGACCAGGGATAAAGAATTTCCTACTAGGTATAATTTTCAGTGTTCATACGGAGGTCTTTATGAACCTGAGGGAAAGGCATCCCTATGGTATGTACATCAATTTTAAAATATCTGAGCCATAGCACAATTGTCTTCTACCAGTAGGGTAGTATTACTGTTCGTATGCTTCATCTTCTCCTAGTCAGTTGCTATATGCACGAGTGTAGACATTTTCTGTATTCTAATAGTTCCTTCATATAATCTTTTTATATAAACTTCTAGAATCGCCGAAAGTCAAGAAATAGATATCTCAGGCATCCTGTAATCGTGATTTCATCTTATCAGCACTTAGTAGCATAAATTTCTGTCCCGCCACACCAGTGATATTTGTAAGTGGAATTTCTCAGATTCCTTGGTTTAGTCGAAGGATTATGTGGTGAAGTAACTCTGATGTACAAATTTCTGGGTATTTCCCAAGCTCTTTAGATGGAATATTACGATTCTGTCGTTCGATTTACTGTGGCTGCTATCTGAATAATGTAGATTTATTTCGACGGTGGCTGTCCTAATTGCTTCCAATAGAAACACTCCTGTACGTTACTCCTAGATCCAGGTCCCCGCCAAATCAAAACGGCAAAATTTCTAGGAGAAAACGTCTGGTATTTTTGTTTCTTCCAGGACTAAATTACTCCGTAGAGTATCCAGTACAATAGCTAGTAAGTGACACTAAGTCCAGCAGCCGCCGCGTCTATCCAAAAATGTGGCGGTAGCCATATTATATCAAATTTAAACAATATATGTACAGTTCAGAAGCAAACACAAAAACTTCAATATAAGTACAAAATATAGAAAGAATAACAATATACAATGATAAAATCTCAAATTGGAATCAAATAAAATACCAAAAATGTCAAGAGAAAAAGTCCATCATGTCACAGCAAAAATATGTAAACATGGAGGGATTTTCCAAAACACAAAACATTCAAAAAGAATTCTACAAATAATTTCTTGCATCTTCTCTTTCCAAACGTTTGGTCAGTCTTTGGCCGATACATAGTTATTGATGATAACATGAGCATCAAGAACCAAAATAGCATAGTGATTCTTACTGATTGATGTCATTTAGTCAAGATTCGAGACGTCTTACTTTTAACAGGATATATGCGTGATTCTGAGTTTCGATCGGACCTAGTTTCATACACTGAACAAAGGCACAATTAGCAACCACTTCAACAAGTTTCTGTTCATATTAATTTTACCACTAATCCATCCCTAGATTTTTCCAGTCCACTGAAGGTACACTGGTCTCTTAAAGGTAAACATGGAACACTTAGTGTTGATTCCTAGGATCTTTCATTTCTTTCTTAAGTAAAATTCGCGAAACTAAGTTTTTATTACTTACAGATTGAGTCAGCCAAGTTTTTATGGTGCTATTTTGTCAGAGTAGGCAAAAGCTAATTGTACACATAGCTATAATCGCTTGTTGGGCAACCTCCAGTTATTTGTATGAGGAACCCAAAGGCCACCTCATCTGCTTCATGATGCACCCAAAGCGGTTTCGAAATCATTCGTTGTTGACATGCGGTCACCAAATATTTTACAGAAATAGGTTTCTTCTCTCTAGTTTCTAACCGTAGTTTTAACTTTGTATCAGGTGAAAGTTTTTACGGATGAAAACTATTAAGAACACAGACTCAAAAACCAGAGACTGTCCAAGCTGAAATCTAGAAGAATAATCGTATTAAACATATTCACTATGCCACGATAACATTGACCTCAAAGTGCAAAAATTTGGGAACTTTGTAATTTCTTCAATAATCATGAAATGCTGAGAAAATTGTGACCGTCCTCTTAGTTCACAGAGTGAAACTGGCTACCATTCCCGAAACGTTTACTTCAAACAGATATAGAATACGGACCGGGATCCATTAGCACTCGGACAGGTCATGCGATGCAAGGATTTGGCAGAAAAGTAAATCGCAGTTAACCGTTTCGAGCATCTCCTTTAAAGAACGGGTAAAAGCCTGGTATAGACAGCGATCATCAGACAAAAATTCCCAGCAGACTGTCAACTAATATGAGGCCTGTTCAGACAGACAGACTAAGGACGCTCATATATTTCAAACATCAACTACTTATATCCTACCTCTGTCAGTTTACTAGACAAAATGAACGGCATGGACTAAGTAATGACAGTAATGCTGAACTGGTAAGAATATCTGCAACATGGATATATTTTCTAATCTCGGACTAGGAACTGACGATATGTAGCACGCACTGCTTTTGCGACGACAGAACTACAGAAATGGGACGTAAGTCCACTAAATAACTGCGCTCCTGCTCGTTACCACGGCAGGTGCATCCAAAGCCAAGACAAGTCTTCATTTTATGTAAAGAAAACTTCGTACCGTCAACAACAGTTGCTCCTAACTCTCTCTAAAACACAAATACAGAAGTTCATAGTGTCACCACACCCCTCTATTTGAAAGATCTATAAATTTCCTAGACTGAGTGCAGATGCGAGCGACTAAATGGATGAAAGGAAAAAAGACTAAGCCCTACGAAGACATAGTCCATAACTTGGGATTATTCTTGTTGAGTACTAGGAAGATCAGAAGGGATATGACGGTAGTATAGAACATATAAAATACGCCAAACATCCCAGCACAGGAATCTTGCAAGAATATCATTACTACACTCCTCGAGCTAACCCTCAAAAGATTGCAAGTCAAAGAGCCAACACCCATTCATGTTTCCACTTTTTCTCAGTAAGAGTTGTTCAGACTTGGATTTCTCTCTCACACAAACCGATCCTGGTTTTCTAAATGGATATCTTCAAGAGTAGACTTCATAAACACATATTAATTCATGAATTACCATATCCAACTTGGACCAGTTAGGTGTGATGAATGCAAGTTTACATATCTGCTGTCAGCATTTCCACATATCATCATCAATAGGAAAAATGCGCGAAGAAATCAATAGATTTATGATAACTGGTCGGAAAGATATTATGTATTCGATATTGTGCAATACACTTGTTGTCTCGGAAACATTGACGCAAAATTTCAAATTTTGCGAAACTCCTTAAGGACGAAATTTCACGAAGGTTGTAAACACTTGCTTATCAATTTAACCTACATCAGAAAGGATACGCAATGCTTAGAGATTAAAAGTTTGGTAAATGTGGTTCATGAAATTGTCGATTTAACTCTCTTTACCCTGTGCTCGTTCCCGAATTTTCGGGAAATTTATTCATTTTTATAGCGAAACTATTGAGACATTTTACGAAATTTTAAGAAAGATGTGACACAATCCTCACATTTTTAAATGGGTCGGAGGGTTTTACGGGGAAGTTTTATCAAAATCGAGGATTTCTGTCTGACTTTACTGACGAATGTTCAAAATTCCGAAATATTTTGTGGAGTAACTCGGTATTATACTAAGCGATATTTCAATAATATCGTTCTGAAGAATAATCTTTCAGCGGTCATTTACTTTATTTTTAAAGATCCATGTCTATGCTTTTAGATCAAAACCTTAGTTATACATTCATCTTTAGCGTAGTGAAGTTGAGGATAATAAAAGTGATGATGTCCTAACCATCGAACCAGTACAGCCAATGTCCCAAACACAAAACCTAAAACGATGAAAAGATAAGCAGTATGTTCGTAAAGTTACTTAACTTGAATTTTTCGAGACAGATAAATAAAAATTCTGATTTGAACTTTACGATCGATTCGTATCCATATCACTTAGATATCTGACAGTACTTGGTTTGGAAGAATCCGGCAACTGTTTTTTCTTTAAGAGCTGTGTCTAGGTAGTTGAAATGATGTCCCGATTACGAAGAGATTTGCTTGTTTTATTACCTCTGGAAATGGAAATGCCAAACAATTTAACGATTATTAGGATTGATAGGGAAGTAAAATTTGCTGTTATTCTTATTCATGTTGATAGTACTTAAGTAATGACGTCCAACAGCTTACTTATTTGGACCAAGAAAATATTTTTACGGATTTTGTGCAGGGTCCTTTATGTTTCGTCCTGAGTGAATGTCATTCTAGATGTAGTTTATTACTGAATCTGATTATTGGTCTAGTCAGGTTGATAAAACTACGAAGAACATGACTTACATTGACTATATCCTCCATAATGTTTCCATACTTCATTGTTCATAAGTTAATGGTTTATTCTTGTTCCGAGTATCTTCACGGTTCAGAAAAATGAGAACTCTTTCTGAGGTCAAATAATACTCATAGTGATCTTATTGGAAAATTTTAGTAACAATTTTGAAGAATCTGTTACTCTCATATACAGCATGATTTTAAAACAAGTTGCAGTAAGAAAAATATCAGACAAAACTTTAAACGGCTGAAATTAGGCCAGAAGTGTTTTTAAAAAATTGGGTAGTGATTTAAACCCAGTGTTTGTCAGTAATGTGATTACTTATTGGGAATCGAAATAATGAAAAAAATATGTTTTTTTTTTTCAGAAAAAACGCATATCCATGGTATAAATCCGATTATCAGTTAGACAATCTGAATTTAACAAACACTTGAAATATGACTCATACGTATTATGGTGTGTCACCACAAAATCTGGAAACTACACATAATGCTACGTATATACTACCAAAACTTATGCCCAAGTTAGTTCACATTTTAATTTTATTTAAAAAAAATTGTTCTTTCTGTCACAAAAAATAATATTAGCTTTGTGTCCATTTTATAGTCTATATCAAATGTTACTTCTCTTGTACTCGAATTAATCGGTTTAAGGCACAAAAACCTATAGCTTGTTGATGAATCTGCCCACAAATGCGTATCTCAAAGTATAGACGGTATGAAATAAACCTGTTTCCGTTACCCAACTAGGCGTAACGAAGAAAAACTATATAACCTCTAGTGTTATAAATATCAGTCACTCACTCGGCTACGACGTAGATTTTCATACATACACATTTCAGGTGCCATACCATGTTGCTACACATATCATAGTAGCAGAGGTAGTGCAAATATTAGTAGTAGTGGTAAAGATTAGGGGCCGAAGATATGTTTTGACAAGTATATCTCAGTGAAATAAGTTTAAAAAGGTAAAAATAAGGGTCATGAAGTATTCGAAAGATTAGAATTTGACAAAAGAAAAACGATGGATGCACTTGCGCTACAGAAAACGATTTCGAACCATGTAATTCAAAGTCTCTGACCATCGGTTACGAATGTTTCACGGACTCTAACCAGGTAGTCTGCATCTATCAACATGACTCAGTCCAGATATCAGTGACTTCGCGGGTCTGTGCCACTTTCTGGTTTGTTCACGACTAGCTTTCTTTGAGCCTACCCCTACATCAAAAAACATCGCTTGCCGAGGTAGTCTGTTTTTGGGTATTCGTAATACATGTCCCAATCACTTCCACTGATGAAGTTTCACTACTTCATCTATTCACCTGCCATCCTTACCTAGCACCCGTTTCCTAACGACAACATTGCTTACTCGGTTGTCCCATAATACATGAACAGTGCTTTGGAGACACCTATGATCAAATACTAGTAACCCACAGCTATCTTCTACTCTGACTGGTCATGTTTAACAGTCATGAAGAAGGACGGACAAAACTGCTGCTCAGTACACTCATCCTTTTATTAGCAGATGGATATATCTCCTACACCATAAATGATGCGAACTATCAAGAACCGATTGGGCTCTCTGGACCTGCGCTGAGTTTTCGTCACAGATCAGGCCATCAGCACTGATGAGGTTTCTAAGATAAGTGAAGAGGTCAATATGCCTAACTACTTCATTCCCCATCACCTCTAGGTCAGGTGCCAATCCAAGCCGATTCTGTAACAACATTTCGAATTTGGAGGAGTAGAGAATGGCACCCCAAATATGCTTGCCTTGTTACTTAGGTGATCAGAAGACTCTGCATTATGTCAGAGTCCTCAACTAACAGAATTATGTCATTGATATATTCTAAGTCAATGGGCGAATCTCCTGGTGAAAGTTCAACTCCTGAAAAATCAGACGATTAAAGTATCGTCTCTAAAAGCATCTTTCTGAAAAAATTGAATTAGCATAGACAGAGTGGACAGCCCTGACGAACACCATTTGAAGTAATCAGTACCGATGAAAGCTTGATATAAGCCCTTATTTGACCAACAGTGTTCAATTATAGGGCCTGTACAAGGTCAGTATACTCCTTTAAATGACAAACATTGCTACAGAACCTTACGAACAACAAAGCCGAACACCCTTAAGGTCAAGAAATGCAACTATCTGCTGAGGCTTGTGTATCTACTCTATACGTTCACATCTAGGTCCGAAAACAGCCTGGTTTCCTGAAGTCTGCTTTTCTCGAGCTCTGGTTAGTTAGTTATCACCAGAGGACTTTTGTCATTTCTTAGGGGTTCATCTTTCAGGACATGATGTTTTCGTTTGCTTAGGATTGCCTGTAAATGTTTTAACCTCATTAGGAGTTGGGAGACTTATATCAACTTACTATTCAGGTTGACTGGAGACAGTAGAGGGGTGGCTGAAGGCTAGTTTAACTAATTCCTTTTCCGAGATAGTCTCGCAAAGTCTGATTTCTAATGCCAGTTTCCTTAAAAAGTCTTGACAGTTGTCTGCTGTTACTTATCACCATCTTTCCATGTCTTCTGATTCACCTATTCACCACCCCTCACTAACATTGTGCAGGATTCTTGCCAGCCTGTGCGTAAGCTCTCTTCTCCTCATCGTTTTCAGAGCCAGAAGGAATGGGTTTTCGAGTGTCTATCAGTTCAGTAGGTGCTGTAGAAATCGACGTCTCCTCCCAAACCTTATGGTTTACCTTGATGGCAGATATCATTGCCGTTTCTACAACCTTTTCGACATCATTCCAAGCTTCCTCAGAGTTGGTATCACTTACGTGGCTGCTGAACTGTTTTCATAGTCGCTCCTGAAATATACTCTTGGGTTTGCTATCGTTAAATAGAACTCTAAGGAGTTTTCTTGCAGTATCTTTCTTACGTGCAGTAAGCTACAGACGGTTGCATGCTCGCACTAGAGAATGATCTGAGTCTAAAAATATGCATCAGAATGAGCGGCAGTCTTCTATTGACACTCTTCATCTGTTGCTGATACCAATGTGGTGTAGTTAGGTTCATCATTAGGTTGATTTTGGGGGTCGCCAAGTCAAAAGATGTTTTGACCTATGATTAAAGTTGGTATTTGCTAGAAATAGGCGGTTATCTGAGTATAGCTGCAGTAGACGGTCTCCATTATCTGTTTGATGAGCCTGGAAACCATAAGATCCACCCAGGTATTTTTTGTTTTCGTTTAATCTACCGATTAGAGCATCGGAGGCACCCGCCACTAGCAGAGCGCTTAGCTTTTTGAACGTTGGAAAGCTTTCTGTAAAGCCTGTCTTTTACCTCATCTGAATTAAGATCAGTTAAGGAGTAGGTAAAGACAACGAACAGGCAACGGTGTTTGTGACTATCTTAAAGAGTTCTTACTATCCCGTTTAGTCGGACTGGGATCCAGTCTTGGAGAACTAGTTCTGCCCTACGACTCAATGCAATACCTACACCAGTGAGGCCACGGGAAGCATCAGTGGGGCTTTCAGATACACGAAGTGTAACTCACGGTTCTTTATTTCGACAAGGTAAAGTAGAGTCAATGACAGTACTTGCCTACTGTTTGCGTGTTTCAGAGATGCAACATACTTCGGTGGTACGAGATTTCAAAGTTCTACTTTAGAAAGCCTGTTATCCTATTTCGTACCAGGTCCGAACATTTAGTTTCGGCTGGGTTCCAGGATCCCAAGGGACAACTGCTTGAGGCTGGTCACGCATGGCCTATTTACTGAAAGTTGTCAACATGTTAGTTTCACTCTTCAAACGGCCTTACCGCCGGAGACAGAAACAATTAATGTCAAAAATAGCAAGTTTCTATGATAAAAAGGGATTAATTCATTGCAATAGATAAGCAGGTTTGCTTGTTTCAGTTGATTGGTCTGTTTTCGTAAACTTTCATATCAACATTATATAATTACTGATTTGAATTAAATTAACAACCAAATTACTCAAACTTATTTTGATAATTTAGTTTAACAGTTATTCTATTTGTGGATGTGTATGTTCTCTTTGATAATTCTTGTGATTTCATGTAGCTTATTTTAACTAGTATGATGTATGTAAACACATCATTTGATATGCTTTCACGAGAGTGAGGATCGATGATCCGGCAACACGACAGACTACTCTAATCCGATTGTCCCTAACCCTCATTGAGTAGAAGAAGAGGAAGACTTGATGTGAAGTACAACATGTATTCTACAACCATCCAGAAAGTACGAGGTTCAAGTCCAGAAGAGGCTAAGGATCCCGAACTATGGATTCGGATCATAAGACGTTACAGATAATGCATATTTATACAGTTAGGTCGAATCGGAAACAACATTGAAGTGTCTGTGACATTGATAACTAAGACGACCAATAGGAGTTAACCAATAGGAATTAACCAATAGAATTAGACTTACAAATAATTCTTTTAACAGTGACTTCAGATGATGTCAATAATTTGACAAACATCCAACACATCCGACCACATCTGCTTTTATATTTATCACGTTTTTTCACTAATCCAGGTATCGTGGACATTGTCCAGGCGTGAAATTTGATTATGGTCAAACATATGGAGCGAATACATGTAAACAATTTCAAGATTATCGATCAACAGTACTTCAATCATCCATGTCATCACCATATAAAGATGGCGGTTACCTGCCTACAATTTATACACATAATTCAAAATTACTATCAAACAAATTAATACAAAATCGTGAACGATATAATGATGGTAGATATTGTTATCAACTTTACAATAAAGATAATTATCGATCCGATGAAATTAAACATTTTGCAAATGTAAGTAATAACAACCATTCCCTAATATTGGTTAACTTGATAATGACAACTACTGTAAAAATTGACTGTCATTAGTGTATAATGCTTTTTCCATGAGGAGATTTTTTCAGAGTCCTTGTAATTAAAGGAGGAAAGAAAGTGATATCTTCGTCACTAGGTACGCTTAAAGCTATTACGATGAGTTCATCTTAGTCGATAAACGCGAACGAGACAATTACCAGCGCGTCCAGATAGGCTACCTTGAATCCCAAGCTGAAGATAGGAGTCCTGGTAAGAAATCCATGAAGTCACTGACAAGTGGACTGAGCTATGTCGGTAACTGTCGACTACTTGGTTGGGGTCCGCGAGATGATAATAATCGATGGTTAGATACCTTGAATGACATGGCTCAAAATCGTTTGCAATGGTGCCGGTGCATTTATTCTTTATGTTCTCTAAAATCCTAATCTTCTGAATTCTTCGACCCCTCTAGTTTTGACTTTCTAAACTTTCCTCACTGAATCATATTTCTTGAATATCTTCTAATCCTAACCTCTCCGATTATTTCTAATACCTTTACTACCTCTTCTACTATAGGATTTGAATTGACAATGGCGTCTCTGTGCTGATGTGGTATGGCAACATGAACTGATGTACTTACGTACAAAGTTCTACGTTACATCTGACTGACTGATTGACCACTGGAATTATACTTCTGGAATCATATTTTCGATACCTAGTCTTTTCCATTCCCACTGCTACCTCTACTACTATTGGATTTCAATTGACAATTTGTTATGTTCGTCACTAGGTACGCTTGAAGCTATTACGATGAGTTCATCTTAATCGATAAACGCGAACGAGACAATTAATTAATCAGCGTCCAGATAGGCCACCTTGAATCCCAAGCTATAAAACAGAAGTCTTGCTAAGCGTAGAAAGTATATTCTACAAACATCCAGCAATCACACAATACAATCAAGCACACAACTCGCGTTTATTTATACATTATAGAAACATCCTTGGGACAGTTACGAAAATAACACACTAATAAAATACACAGCAGCTAATCACAGCCATGGATTTTCCTGGTGGGAAATGAAATCTCAAGGTCAACTGATCAGCCTATGCTCGCAAACGTGAAATCCAAAATAAGGCATTTATCAAGCGAGTTCTGGGGATCTAACATCCCCAACAGAAAGGATTCTCTTTAAAAAAAGAAAAGGAATTTTCACCATAAATAAATCGATAATAATAATAAATTTTTCAATTAGGGTTAGTGTTTTTTGCACATTGAAATCAGTCAATCAATCAATCAATCATTGTTAGACCACCATTATAAACTTGGAAGCACTGGATGACCGTTTCGTCCTGGTATGGGACTCATCAGTGCCAGTGCGCATCCACAACTCCTGACCTACAATTTAAAAATATTTGGAACTAAAAACAACTATCAATTAACACCAAAATCAGTAGTTTCAATATGAATGTCAAGACAGTTAGTTCCATTGTATGGGGCGGAAAATTGGAAAACTACCAAAGTCATCATTCAGAAGATACAAGTATTTATTAACAGTTGTCTACGCTAAATACTTCTGATCCGCTAGCCAGACAGACAATATTACCAACAACCTACTGTGGGATAGAACAAATCAGATTCCAGTAAAGGAAGGAATCAGGAAGAAGCTCTGGAGGTGGAAAGCATCCAGCGGCATCACAAAACAAGCCTTCACTTAGAACCCTCAGGGTCAATGGAGAAGACAAAGACCGAGGAACACAGTATACCGAGAAATGGAGACAGATGTGAGAAGAATGAGCAGCAATTGGATCGAACTAGAAATAAAGGCCTAGGACGGAGGGGGTTGAAGAATGCTGGTCGATGGCGAAACCTACAAATTGTAGGAACACGATATCAAAGCTATTTATCCATAAATTCCAGTTTTCTTTGGTGTCATGACAAGTATTACCAATAAATAACCGGGATAGTCTGCCGCTTTCTCTATGCATTAATATATATATATATCATTGTCGCAATACGATCGATTATTGTACTTGCGATAGAGGAGATTCATTTCTTATATATTATCTTTGTGGTGGCTTCATATCATTAACTCATTGGATTAGTCAAGGCAAACAAATACCTAGTTCACACGTAACATAGTTATTTGCTTTATACCTCTACTTGACAATTAACGCTGTACTCTTTTACTCCAATTAATGAGGCGATTCTTTGAGACTTTGAACGACATGACTCCAAATCGTCTGCAATGGAGCAGGTGCATTCATTCATTATGTTCTCTCAAATTCTAACCTTCTGGATTCCTAATCATCTATTTCCGTCTTTCTCTTTCTTAAGTTATTTGACTGAATTATACTTCTTAAATAATTTCTTCAAACCCTAATCTTCTGCGTTACGGCTAATAGTTCTACTATTGCTACCACTATGGGATTTGAACTGACAATTGTGTCTCTGTGCAGATGCGGTATGGAAACCTGAACTTGATGTACTCATGTACGAAGTTCCACGTTGTAACTGACTGAATAAAGCAATTCTGATGTATGGAATACATCACATTTTAAAAGGTTGATATATACATTTTCAGATTTTATTTGGTTTGCTGATTATTTTACTAACATATGATAGGGAGTGAAGTAGTTGAGCATGTTGACCGCTTCACTTATCTGGGGAGTCTCATCAGCGCTGACAGGCTGATGACTGATGGAATCTCAGCTCGGATACAGAAGGCTCGATTGGCTTTTGCCAACTGGCGTCATTTATGGCGAAGGCGAGATATCCATTTGCTGACTAAAGGACGAATGTACTGAGCAGCAGTTCGCTCCGTTCTCCTATATGGATGTAAAACATGGCCGGTAAGAGTAGAAGATATTCGTAGGTTACTAGTATTCAATCATAAATGTCTTAGAAGCATTGCTCGTATATCGTGGGACAACCGAGTAAGCAATGCTGCCATTAGGAAAGGAGTACTAGTTAAGGATGGAAGATCAATTGATGAAGTATTGAAACTTCATCAGTTGAGGTGGTTGGAACATATGTTATGTATGGCAAACCACCGACTGCTTCGAAGAGTTTTGTTTTGTGGTGTATGATTAGGTTGGAAGAAAGCTAGGAGGGGCCAAACCAAAAGACGGCACAAATCCATGAAGTCATTGAGAGCTGGAATGAGTCATGAGAGTAAGTGTAGATTACGTGGTTGAGGTCCGTGAGACGAAAGTCATTAATGCTTAGAGATCTTGAATCACATGGTTCAAAATCGCTTGTAATGGCGAAGGTTCATCCATTCTTTGTGCTCTCTCAAATCCTAATCTTCTGGGTTCGTCAACACCTCTTCTACCTTTGTCTTTCTAAACTACTTATCTCACTGAATTATACTTCTTGAATAATATCTTCAAACCCTAGTCTTCTTCATTACCATTAATACTCCTATTATCTCTACTACTATGGAATTTGAATTGACAATTGCGTCTCTGTGCTAATGTGGTACGGTAACCTAAACTGATGTACTCATGTACAAAGTTCTACGTTTCAACTGACTGACTGACTCACTAACTAACTAACTGAACTAACCTATGAACTATTCTCATCTTATTATGTGTAGAGTAATAATATTCATAATAATTCACATCTTTTTTTGGGTTTTTTTCTGTTTATTAACAGGCTGTTCAAAAACATCGTGATTATTATTTAGATAAAACTGGAATTGAAAAACCTGTACCCGAGTTTTTAATTCCATTAAGTAATGAACAATTTATTAAAGAGAAATATTTATTTCGATAATAATAATAATTATCATCATACTCATAAAAATGATGATGATGATATTATTAGACAGAAAATAAATATTTCAAAATAAAATTTAACATGTTTTGTTGTTATTTATACACCAGCATGCATGCATGCATGTAAACTACGTTAATTTGTGATATTACTTACTTACTTACGCCTGTTACCCCCAATGGAGCATAGGCCGCCCACCAGTTTTCTCCAACCAACTCTGTCCTGGGCTTCGCTTTCTAGTTCTGTCCAATTTTTATTCATTCTTCTCATATCTTTCTCTATTTCTCGGCGTAACGTATTCTTTGGCCTTCCTCTTTACCTTTTGCCTTGAGGGTTCCATGTGATATGCTTCAGCTAATTATTACAAGTTTACCTTAGTCGTTGTCAGTGAACGAGAGCAGCGAGGATCGATGATCAGGCGATGATGATACGACAGACTAATCTAATCCGAACGTCCCAAACCCCCATCGAGTAGTAGAAGAAGAAGAAGACTTGATATGAAGTAGAATGTGTATTCTACAAACATCCAGAAAGTACGACGTCTGAGTGTAGAAGAGGCTAAGTATCCTGTACTAAGTATTCTGGTCCGGAGCATAAGACATTATGGTTAATGCATATTTATACAGTTAGGTTGAATAGTAGTATGTAATGTCGGTATATATGCATTAACTCCTCTTTATTGATAATCAGCGAAATTCAACCTTATTTCATTTAGTAAAAAAAACAATGCCTGTATTCTTCACAGTAACTCATATAATTCAGTATCTCAGTTACAACGTAGAACTTCGTACGTAAGTACATCAGTTCAGGTTGCTATACCGCATCAGTAGAGAGATGCTACTGTCAGAGATAGTAGAAGTATTAGCAGTAATGGAGAAGATTAGGGTTCAAAGATATGATTCGAGAAGTATAATTTAGTGAGATAAATTTAGAAAGAGAAAAATAGAGATGATGTGTAATTCAGGATAAATTTAGAAAAAGAAAGATAGAGGTGATGAGTAATTCAGAAGGTTAGAATTTGAGAGAACAGTAAGGCTGGATTCACTTGTGCCATTGAAAACGATTTTGAGCCATGTCGTTCAAGGTCTCTAACCATCAGTGACTTTCGTCTCGCGGACTCCAATCAGGTAGCCTACATCTAATAATATGACTCAGTCCACCTGTCAGTGACTTCATGGATTTCTTCCATGTTTTGGCTTGGCCGCTCCTAGCTTTCTTCCGACCTACTCATACGCGCCACAAAACATTGCTCGTCTGGGCAGTCAGTGGTTAGGCATACATGCCAACACCAAGAGATAATTATAGTATAATCTGTTGAGGACGTTAGATCGACAGAGCTTACATGATAAAAGTCCTAATTTCGGATTTTATGTTTTCGAGCATGAGCTGATCAGTTGACCTTGAGATCACATTTCTCACTCGGAAAATCCTTGGTTGTTATTGGTTGATATATTGTTTTAATACACTATTTTTATGGCTCTCCCAAAGACGTTTCTATAATGTATAAATAAACTCGATTTGTATGCTTGTCAACCTCACATTTTCTAGATACTTGTAGAATACATCTTCTACGCCTTATCAAGACTTCTTGATATAATTAGCCAGGTCGGTGGGACAAGCGGATTAGAATAGCCTATCGTGTCACTGGATCATCATTTGCTCTTCGCTCTCGTTTACTACCGACTAGGGGTGGCTGAACTCGTAATAGCTAGCTATTCAAGCATACCAACTGATGACGAGTAAAACATAATCATCACAATAAATTATAACAAATAATAAACAAATTATTATTATTATGCATCTTTTTAAACTACACTGTATGCCAAAGACAAAACCAAAAGATAAAAGAGACAAGATTTGAAAGTAAATGCAATTCCTATTCAATACAGAGAGAGAGAGAACTGATATTTTAAACAAAATCCCAAACAACTGTCAATGTCAATGCCCAATGTGTCAACAACACTTATTCAAGTAGAGAGAAAAAAACAGGCAGTGGAAGATGTTTTTTACAGTTGTTTGTTTGTTTTAGGACCACAATAAAAAAGAAACTGGATTAAAAATGGAAAAAACGGAGTTGTGCGCCATAAAAAAAATGAAATTTTAAACAAAAAAAAACCGGGTATTTTAAATGAAAACAAAAAATAAAGAGCAACAAGTGAAATACAAGTGTAAATAATATTATTGAATACAATAAATGCAATGAATGTTTATGATGATTATGATGACTATGATTATTAAGTCTTGCTAATTGAAGCTCAAAGGTCAGTCAGTAAAAAATCAGTCATTTTGAAAATTGTTTGACAACTGTTTCAACTGCAGCTTAGTGTATTGTTCCTAGAGTCATAGACAGAGAGAGAGAGAGAGAAAAAGAAGGAACCAACAGAAATGATCAATTGCATTACGAGGGGGGGTTGTGTGAAGATTGTTTGTGTTAAGTTACAATATTTTTGAAATCAACATGAATCGATCAATGTTATTAGTAAGTAGACCACATCACCATTATAGGAACTAATCTGGAAACACAGTGCTTAGACAGGACACTTTTCGTTTTGGTGTGTGTGGGACTGATATAAATGCAAATTAGTGTACACTGAAAATAACAACAACCAAAAAGATCTTAGCTTGTGAAAAAATGTAAGCCTATTCAGTTTAGTTTTTACTAAGGACTGATTATAAAAACACATGGTGAATAGTTGTATATTAGTAAAAGGTTTATAGAGAAGAAAACTGTTAGGATAATCATCAAATATCTTGAAGAAATTATTTTCTGAGTCTTATTCTATTCGTCAATTCCTATTGGCCAATACTTAAGGTCGTCCTAAAATATCAAGTGCACATACTTTTAAATATTATTTCCTATTGGTTAGTATTCAAGGTCGACCTAACTGTAAATTTTTATGCTGCTCTTCTTCTACTGCACAAGACCTCGATTTTCTTGGTGCTTGTAAAATACACTTTCTACGCCATATCAAGACATTCTGATACCGTTAGTCGGGGCTTGGTACGCTCGGATTAGAATAGCCTATCATGTCAATGGATCATTTATCTTAGCTCTGGTTTACCAACTAAGGTGAACCCGTAATAGATCATCAAGCATATCAACTGACAAAGATAAAAGAGAAATAGATGGCTATCAGGGGAAAAAATTTGAATTTTATCTTACAAGAGCTTAAAACCATGTGGTAGGAGAAGCAGTTGTACCAGTTTTAACTGTACATAATATAATTCTCGTTTTCTCAAATATACTGCTACATATAGCAAGTGTTTTTTTCGGTAATGCTAAGAAGACGACAATCAACAAACTAACTAACTAACTACTTTTGACAGTTTTCTCTACTCACCTTAAAAAAAGGAAAAATTTGAATAAAGTATCAGTTTTTATCCGAATGATCTGTGTTCGCAACAGTGTTGTTAGATTGTTGAGCTTCTCTTATTATTGACCAGTATTCCACCTGTTTTCAATCAAGCCAGAAGATAGGTGTTTTCGAATTCTTTCGCATAAAATAGAGCAACAAGCGACTGATATACTACTCAGTGAGTCAGATGCAACGTAGAACATTGTACGTAAGTACATCAGTTCATGTTGCCATACCTTATCAGCACAGAGATGTAATTGTCAATTCAAATCCTATAGTAGAAGAGGTAGTAAAGGTATTAGAAGTAATCGGAGAGGTTATTAGGATTAGAAGATACTATTCAAGAAGTATGATTTAATGAGAAAAGTTTCGAAAGACAAAACTAGAGGGGTTGAAGAATCCAGAATTCGTCATAAGTGATAATTTATCTTTTAAATTGTTTTGAAACTGTTATGCTCGTCAACTGATATGCTTTAAACTATATTACCAGTTCACCTTAGTCGGTGAACGGGAGCGAAGAGAAATGATACGATGACATGATAGGCTTATCTAATCCGAGAGTCCCAATATGTCTCTAAACTCTATCTAGCAGTTTTTCCTAGTTTATTCCTCAACTGGGAGTACAGATAATGCATATTTATACAGTCAGGTCAAATAGGAAACAACATTGAAGTGTCTGTGACCATTGATAGTGTTAGGACAAACCATAATATATTGACCAGTAGGAATTGACCAACAGAATTAAACCCTATTTATTATATATAGTAAAAAGGTAAAATCGTATGGAAAGATAACTCACCTTCATCAGCCTATATTATCTCCTATGGTTGTTGTTGTTGCTGTTGTTGGTGTTGAAGTATTACACAACAATCATCATTGGCACATTGTTGTTTTTTTCTTCTTCTCTCACTATCTTCATCATGTTTTCGATTTGTTGATAAAGATGATGTATATGATATTGAAGAAGTGGCACAATCACTACCAAGTGCAGAATCTTTTGTAGTGTATTCAGTAGATTGTTGATCATAAGTTGTGAATAAAGGATTCATAATTATTGATGTGCTATTATCGCTATTATTATTGTTACTAGTATTACTCATAGAATCGATAATATGATAAGGATTCGGTGGCATTGGGTTTGTACTTGTATTCAATTGATTTTTTGATAATACTAGGTCCGAATGTAATTTGGCTAGCTTTTTTAAAAAAAAAGGAAAGAGAAAAAAAAATTGAACACTGATTGATGAGTTCAGAGTTAAATGTAATTGAGTCAATTTTGCAGTGTGTTTGTCTTCTACGTCCTTCTCAGCGCTGCTATTCGAACTTCAATGATCAAGATACGATTTTACTAACCGCCTGTTACTCCCAATGGACAGATAGACATACAGACATACAACGCAGAACTTCGTACATAAGTATATCAGTTCAGGTTGCCATACCATATCAGCACAGAGACATAACGGTCAGTTCAAATCCAAGAGTGATAGTGATAGTAGAATTATTAGCAGCAATGGAGAAGATTAGGGAGTGAAGATATGATTCGAGAAGTATAATTCAGTCAGAGAAATTTAGAAAAAGTAAGATAGAGGCAATATGGAATTCAGAAGGTTAGAATTAGACAGAACACAAAGAGTGGATGCACCTGTGCCATTGCAAACGATTCTGAGCCATGTCGTTCAAGGTCTCTAACCATTGGTGACTTTCGTCTCGCGGACCCCAACCAGGTAGTCTACATCTACCAACATGAGACTCAGTCCACTTGTCAGTGACATCATGGATTTGTGCCATGTTTTGGTCTGGCCGCCCCTAGCTTTCTTCCAACCTACTCCTACACTACAAAACATAGCTCGTCGAGGCAGTCGGTGGTTAGGCACTCGTAACACATGTCCCAACCACACATCAACTGATGAAGTTTCACCACTTCATCTATTGATCTGCTATCTTTACCTAATACTCGTTTCCTAACTATACCATTATTTACTCGGTTGTCCCACGATATACGAGCAATGATGCTTCTAAAACATCTATGATCGAATACTAGTAACCGACGAACATCTTCTACTCTTGAAAGTCATGTTAAGAGTGAGTTTAAGGGATGCTTGCTAACAGTTCATATAAATGGCATAAACTTGTATAGAATCTTTGTTTTATAAAATATAAATAACCTGGAAAAGTTTGAAAAAAAAAATCATTTGCTTTATACATAGAACAGAGCTTACATAATAAATAAATAAGTGAATCATATAAGTAGTTTTAGGGAACTAATTGTAAGGTCGGTTATTCATCGATTCATCGAAAACATTAATTATCAAGTGATGAAATAAATGATATACAAAAGAAACACAATGAAATATTTTGGATTGGTGCTAAGAATGTGCAACTGTAGCATATGTTCCTGAAGGTTCTACCATGCCACTAGGCAGGTCGATTGGAGAACGATGAGACTAAAAGCAGCTAGCTACTCAACGTCTGATGGCGAAGTAGTACTCTTGCTGACTGTAGAGGGGTGTGACGGCAGTAAGGTGTTTCCCCCGGACTACCAGCATCTGCAGCGATGCTGCCTTCTCACAAGAAAGGAAGGGTTAGAAAAGGTCGACCTTAAAAATGTCACACCTCAACCTACCTCACGGATTTCAGTCTCTGGCGGTAAGGCTGCCCACTGAGGGCTTTTAAGAGCGGAGCTAATACTCAAAAAACCTTTCATAAAAAGGCAGTGCGTGACCGGCCTGAAGCAGTTGTCCCTTGGGCTCTGTGGTCACGCACCTAGGTCTCTAAGACCAACTCTAATATACCTTCTTTTTCAGGCCCCTCAAGTAACAACCTTCCACGGTGTGGGCAGCCAGGAATCGATATCCGCCCTCATACCGATAACAAGAACAACCGTCGAAATGCAAAATGTTGCTTCAGGATTGGGTCGCATCGGCACCTGAACTAGTGATAGGGAGTGAAGTAGTCGAGCATATAGTCCGTTTCACTTATCTTGGGAGTCTGTTCAGTGCCGATGGCCTGGTGACTGACGGAATCTCTGTACGGATACAGAAGGCTCAAATGGCTTTTGAAAACTTGTGTCACTTATGGAGAAGGCGAGATATCCGTTTGCTATACAAGGGACGAGTGTACTGCGCAGTAGTTCGCTCCGTCCTACTACATGGCTGTGAAAGATGGCTAGTCAGAATACAAGATATTCGTAGGTTGTTTGTCTTCGATCACAGGTGTCTCCGAAGCATTTATCGAGCATCGTGGGACAGCCGAGTAAGCAAAGTTGTTGTTAGGAAACGGGTACTAGGTAAGAATGGCAGATCAATAGATGAAGTAATGAAACTTCATCAGTTGAGGTGGTTTGGATATGTGTCACGTATGCCTAACCACCGACTGCCTCGTCGAGCTATGTTTTGTGTTGTAGGAATAGGTTGAGACAAATATAGAGGCGGTCAAGCCAAAACATGGCAGAAATCTATGAAATCACTGACAACTGGATTGAGTCATGTCGGTAGGTATCGACTACCTGATTGAGGCTCGCGAGATGTTAGAGTAATCGATGATCAGAGATCCTGAATGACATGGCTTAAAAACAGTTTGCAATAGCTCCGGTACATTCATTCTTTGTGTTCTCTAAAATCCTAATATAATGAAAACAAACCCAATAATACAAACAATCTACTTACTTCATTACTAAATAATGTTTGCTGATTCATAGTTTGTGTTTCATAAGTTGTCATAAGATATTTAACTTTTTCTAAACAATTATCAATAATCCAATGAGGTGATAATGTTATGAATGAATGATCACCGACATTAGTAGTAGTGTTCATGCTAGGTGTGACATTAGTAGTAGTAGTAGTAGTGGTAGTTGTATCAGTAGTATAATACACTGCTTGATTTGTACTTTCATTAGTTGAGCCATTTCGATTGGCTGATGAATGTTCATCATCATCATCATGACATGAATTCACACATGATGTTGCACAACCATCATCGTCATCACTTGATACTTTAGAAATACAAATTAAATTCGATATTGCCGGTGGGGGTGGCGGTGGAGGCGGTGGTTGAGATTGATGATGATGATTGAACGATGAGCATGAATCGTTTTGATCGATTTTCTGTGGATTGTTTGCTGTAGGATATTTATTCAACTGAAAAAGAATGAGCGAAAATAAAGGGGATAAGATGAGTAGCCAAAACATTTCTTACAATGTGAAATCTCTCTGACCTCACATAAGAAAGGTTCGACCATTCATACCTAACCTGGGTTGTTTTTTTTTATCTAAATAACCATATTCAGGGTTAAGCGTTCTCGCCAGCAAGACCGAAGGTCCTACAGTTCGAATCCTGTGGGTAGTGGGAATCGTGGATGTGTACTGTCACTACTGAAGAGTCCCAATACCAGGATGAAACGACCATGTCTCAGTGCTTCCAGTCAGTCAGTCAGTCAGATGCAACGTAGAACTTTGTACATAAGTACATCAGTTCATGTTGCCATACCACATTAGCACAGTGATTCGATTGTCAATTCAAATCCAATAGTAGAAGAGGTAGTAAAGGTATTAGAAGTAATCGAAGAGGTTAGGATTAGAAGATACTATTCAAGAAGTATGATTCAGTGAGAAAAGTTTAGAAAGTCAAAACTAGAGGTGTTGAAGAACACAGAAGATTAGGATTTGAGAGAACACAAAGAATAAATGCACCGGCGCCATTGCGAACCATTTTGAGCCATGTCATTCAAGGTCTCTAACCATCGATTATTATCATCTCGCGGACCCCAACCAGGTAGTCTACATCTACCAACATGGCTCAGTCCACCTGTCAGTGACTTCATGGATTTCTGCCATGTTTTGGTTTGGCCGCCCCTAACTTTCTTTCAACCTATTCCTACAACACAAAACATAGCTCTTCGAGACAGTCGGTGGTTAGGCATACGCAGCACATGTCCCAACCACCTCAACTGATGAAGTTTCACCACTTCATCCATTGATTTGCCATCCTTACCTAGTACTCGTTTCCTAACAACAGCATTGCTCACTCGGTTGTCACACGGTATACGAGCAATGCTTCGAAGACACCTATGATCGAAAACCAGTAACCTACGAATATCTTCTACTCTCACTGGCCATGTTTCAGAGCCACATAGGAGAACGGAGCGAACTGCTGCACAGTACACTCGACTTTTGATTAGAGAACGGATATCACGCCTACGCCATAAGTGACGCAGGTTGGCAAAAGCCAATCGAGCGTTCTGTATCCGAGCTGAGATTTCGTCAGTCACCAGGCCATCAGCATTGATCAGACTCCCCAGATAAGTGAAGCAGTCTACACGCTCGACTACTTCACTCCCTATCACTAGTTCAGGTGCCGATGCAACCCAGTCTTGAAGCACCATTTTGCATTTCGAGGGGGAAAACCGCATCCCGAACATGCTTGCATTGTTGCTTAGGGTAGTCAGAAGACTCTGCATTTTGTCAGCGTCTTCACCAAGTAGGACAATGTCATCGGCATATTCTAAGTCAATAAGCGAGCCACCTGGTATAAGGTCTACTCCTGAAAATTCAGACGAGGATAATGTTATGTCTAGGAGCGTGTCTATGATAAAATTAAACAAGAATGGAGAAAGTGGACATCCCTGACGGACACCACTTGATGTAGAGAATTCAGGTGACAGTTCGCCATAAGCCCTCACTCGACCAGTGGTGTTCGAGTAAAGAGCTTGTATAAGGTTAATGTACTTCTTTGGTACACCTTTCAATGACAGACACTGCCACAGAACCTTACGATCAACAGAGTCAAATGCCGCCTTAAGGTCCAGGAAAACAACTATTGTAGGACGCCTAAATGTGTGTCTATGTTCCAGGACCTGTCTGAGTGTGAAGACGTGGTCTATACAGCCACGTCCAGGTCGAAAACCAGACTGGTTTTCTCGAGTCTGCTCTTCACGAGCTTTCGTTAAGCGTCAAAGTATTACTGAGGCCAATATTTTAGATACTATATTAGTTAGACTGATTCCTCTGTGATTGTCACAAGAAGACTTCTGTCCTTTCTTATAGATTGGGACCAGTCGGATGGGATTACGTCCAGTTCCCAGATTCTACCTAAGATCTCAGTCAATCTAGCTGCTAAAACTGGACCACCATCCTTAAATATCTCAGGGGTCAGTCTATCAGGACCTGCAGCTCGTCCTCGTTTCAGATTTACTAACGCTTTCTCAACGTCATTAAGACTAGGGGGACTTAGGTCGATTTGCACTTTCAGGATGACTGGAGATCGTGGGTAACCGAAGAGTGGATCGTGGACAGTTGAACTGATCCCTAAAGTGTTCTGCCCATCGATCCAGTCTCCTGGATTAAGAATGGATAATAAGACCATCCTTTTCCGAGATAGTCTCACTCACATTCGGTTTCTTAATACCAGTTTCTTTAATAAGGCGGAAAAGTTGTCTAGTGTTGAGTTTCATACAAATTCCATTGTGTTCCCACTCTTCCTTTCTCGTGATCTTCCCCAATCTTCTGCTGCCAGAAATCATTACGTTGACACTCACGTCATATACTACTTATAAGTAGCTCACACCACACTACTACTCCGACTACAACTATTACTCACATGATGACAATGTACAAAATGATTTAAACCAAATACATCCGTTGGACATTGTTCCGATAAAATGAATTGATTTAATACAGTTGAACAAATTGGTACATTTTGTAAATTTCTTCTTTCCATCCTTCTTTTCTGATGATATTTCATAAAATAAATTATCATAATTAAACATAGAATAATAAATATCAATAATAATCCACCAATAATTGAACTAATTGGATTAGTGAAAATCAACGACGATAATGATAATGATGATGATGATGAGGTGGATTTCTGTTCATATTGTTGGTGTTGTAGTTGGTGTTGATAGTGTCGCAGCATGAATTCACTAACCGCATTACCCCTACCACCACCAGCGTCAACATCAACATCATCATCATCGTGTTCATCATGTTCATTGTTAGTTGATAAGAATTTGAGCGGTTTAGGAAAATTTGTATAAATATCATTCAAGGCAGCAGCATCACTACGGATTGTTGATTGTGAATGTTTGAAAATGAATGTTAATAAATCATGTGAAAATGATTGTTTTTTTGTATTGTAGTTTATATTGGATGGATGATGATTAGGATTGGTGAATTGATTGAAACGACTGGCAATATGATTAGTATGTGAAGTAGTAGAGGTAGCAGGAGCAGTATGAAATTTGGATTGAATTAAATGTTGACGATTTTGTATGGTATAAGTATAACTTGGATTACGATTATTATCATTGTTATTAGTGTGATTATTGTTGCCCGAAGTGAGCCAATCTTGAATAAGAAAAACAAAACAAGACAAAAAAAAGATCGTCATCATTATCAACAACCATCGACACCAACGTACAACTTCGTCATGTAAAGTACACATCAGTGTTCAAGTTGCCATACCATATTGGCTCAGAGATGCGATTGTCAATTCAAATCCCATAGTAGTAGTGTAGTGTGTGCTACTTATACGAACGATATAAGTAGTAGTATAAGAAGGGACGTGAAAGAAGAAGAAGTCTCACAGTCAGAAGAGGAAAACGGAAATCAAATGGAGCAAAAGCAAGAAGTAAATGGAGTACCAACAGGAAGAAGGAAAGGAAGCAACAACAGGAATGGAAGAAGAAGGATGGAGCGTTGGAAGTCACAACTTAAAGATGGTGTGCAAATAGAGTGCTCAATGTAATGTTTTCGTTTTTAATTGACTCAGAGTGTAAATTAGCATAATACGAACTTCCGCGCCTACTTCAGTCTTCTCAGTAGTAGTAGTAGAAGTATGAGCAGTAATCGGAGAGAGTAGGGTTAGAAGATATTATTCAAGAAGTTTAATTCAGTGAGGTAAATTTAAAAAGAGAAACATAGAGATAGATGATGAGGAATTGAGAAGGTAAGGATTTGAGAGAACACAAAGAATGGATGAACGTGCCCAATTGCAAACGATTTTGAACCATGTGATTCAAGATCTCTAACCATCGGTGACTTTCGTCTCGTGGACCCCAACCAGGTAGTCGACACCTACCAAAACATGACTCAGTCCACTTGTCAGGTGACTTCATGCATTTCTGCCATGTTTTAGTTTGGCCGCCTCTAACTTTCGTCCAACCTATTCCTATATCACAAAACATAGCATGACGAGGCAGTCGCTGATTGGGCATACGTAACACATGTCCCAACCAACTCAATTGATGATGTTTCATTACTTCATCAATTGACCTGCCATCCTTGCCTAGTACTCGTTTCCTAACGACAACATTGCTTACTCGGTTATCCCATGATACACGAGCAATACTTCGGAGATACCTATGATCAACAACCAGTAACCTACGAATATCTTCTACTTTGACTGGCGATGTTTCACAACAATAAAGTAGGACGTAGCGAACTACTGTGAAGCACACTCGTCTTTTAGTCAGCAAACGGATATCTCGCTTACGTTATAAAAGCCAGTCGAGCCTTTTGTATCTGTGCTGAGATTTCGTCCGTCATCAGGCTATCGGCAGCGATGAGACTCCGCCAACAAAAGATAGAAATTATGAGAAAATACCGATGGAATTATGAATCCATGTAAGGTTGTATCACTATGAAAAAATTTAAAGCACTAGATGACTGTTTCATCCAAAGTCGGCCAGATAGAATGTAGAACGTGATACGTACATACATCAGTGTTCAAGTTGCTATACCATATTAGCACGTCGAATGATGGAATTGTTAATTCAAACCCCTTAGTAGTAGAGGTATTAGTAGAAGTATTAACAGTAATCGAGAATATTAGTTAACGAAGATATGTGTTGAGAAGTATATCTCAGGGACAAAAATTTAGGAAGACAAAGATAGAGGTGATGAGGAATTCAGAAAATTAGAATTTGAGAGATGATAAATAAGGAATGCGTCTGAGCCATTGTAAATGATTTTCAGCCATGTCATTCAAAGTCTCTAACCACTGGTTACGATTGTCTTACGGGCTCGCACCAGGTAGTCTACATCTACTAACATGGTTCATCTCACATGTCAATAACTTTATAGACTGGTGCCATGTTTTGGTTTGACCGCCCCCAGTCTTCTTCCGGCTTACTCCTACATCAGACAATCCAGTGAAATAAATTTAAGAAAAAGATAGACCTGATGAGAAATTCAGAAGATTAGAATTTGAGTAACGACAAAGCATGGAGGCACCTGCGACATTACAAACGATTATGAGCCATGTCATCCAGGTTCTCGCGGACCGCAACCTAGTAGTCTATATGTACTTACAGTCCAGTAGTCAGTGACTTCGTGCATTGTTTTGGTCATTCTTAGCTTTCTTCCAGCCTACCCTACATCACAAAACATTACTCGTCAGCTTAGCCGGTGGTTGGTTGGGCGTACGTAACACATGTCCCAACCACCTCAGCTGGTCAAGATTCACTACCTCACAAACTGACCTACCATCCTTACTTAGCACCCTTTTCCTAACAACCGTTGCATACTTGTTCGTCACAAGATATAAGAACAATACTTCGAAGACACCTATGATCGAATACTAGTAACCTACGTATATCATCTGTTTTTAGTGGTCATGTTTGACACCTGTAGTGTAGGACGGAGCGAACGATTTGATTATGACCGATTTGGTCTCGTGTGATGTTTCGGGTAGAGTAGAGGACTTCCGTAGGTTACTAGTCTTCGATCATCGTTGTCTCCAAAGCATTGCTCGTGTATCCTGCGACGGCCGAGTAAGCAATCCAGTCGTTAGGAAACGAGTTCTAGGTAGGGATGGCAAATCAATAGATGAAGTGGTGAAACTTCATCAGTTGAGGTGGTTGGGATATGTTTTACGAATGCCTAACCACCGACTGCCTCGACGAGCTATGTTTTGTGGTGTAGGAGTAGGTTAGAAGAAAACTAACGGCGGCCAAACCAAAACATGGCACAAATCTATGAAGTCACTGATACCTGGACTGAGGCATGTTGGTAGATGTAGGCTACCTGGTTGGGGTCCGCGTAACGATAGTCACCGATGGTTAGAGATCTTGAACTACATGGCTCAGAATCGCTTGCAATGGCGCAGATCCATCCACTCTTTGTGTTCTATGAAATTCTAGTCTTCTGAATTCCTCATAATTTCCATCTTTCTCCTAAATTTATCTCACTGAATTATAATTCTCGAATCATATCTTCGCTCCCTAATCTTCTCTATTACTTCTAATACTTCTATTATTGCTATTACTGTTGGATTTGAATTGACAGTTGCATCTCTGTGCTAATGTGGTATGGCAACCTGAACTGATGTGCTTACGTACGAAGTTCTACGTTGTATCTGTCTGTCTGTCAGGACGGAGCAAACTGTTGCGCATTCGGTCGGGAATAACCACTTAGCCTTCCAGATAAAATCAAATCAGATAGTGAATGATTTTCAACTTTCACATTGTTCACTGTATTAATGTATATTCTATCGATCGATAACATATACGACAACAATCATAAAACAAGAAAACAGTATGTATGTTAACTAACTAACTTAACTAACCATTTACATATGGATGATAATTTAAATTAGGCAAAAGGACATCGCCGCCACCTCCACCTCCACCTCCACCACCACTAAGAATTCCATTAAAACAAACTGAAATTGGTGCACAAAATGACTGATTCAATAGTTGATCATTAGTTGACGTCATCATCGTCACTGTCTTCTTCTTCTGCTTCATCATACACCATTCACAACCAATAGTTGATGAACAAATTAAACGTGTACGATGTGTACAATGCGAATGTTGTTGTTGTTGTTCATGATTAGTAGTGAAATGTTCAGTATTGGCTTCATTCATTGAAGTAGGTTGATAGTGTTGGTGTTGTTGTGAAGGTGGTGCTTGTGGTGGTGGTGATTGTTTAAATCTATTCAAATCAGAAATCACATGTCTATTGGATGAAACAAATTGATCAGTGTTCATCAATGATGTACAAGTTGGAATTTCTTCGATTGTATAAAATGAAGTTGATGATGATGACGATGATGATGTTTGAGTATTGAGGATAAATGAATTAAAATTATGTGATATTGCATTAATTGGTTCCATTTCCTTGAATTTGAAAAAAAACATGGTAATTGAAAAAAAATTATAAAATATGAGTAGGAAAAAAAACTGAAATTTTCCCGGAAAAAAAAGTGCCGCAGGCTGTCAACACACTATGATCTCATCCTAAGTAGTGAGTGAAGCAGACCATTCGTAAAGTGTCATTTTGTGTACAGAGGAAGTAACTCATCCCGAACTTGCTAGCATTGTTATTTGAGCGAATCAGAAGACTATATGTTGTTAACGTCTTCAACAAGTCAGTCAATCAGTCAGTAACAACAACATACAACTTCGTAAGGACGTATACATCAGTTCAAGTTGCAATACCATATTAGCACACGGACGCGATTGTCAATTCAAATTCTATGGCAGTAGAGGTAGTAGAAGTATTAGCAGTATTCAAAACGATTAATGATAGAATATATCATTTGAGATGTAAAACCCCAGAGGAATCAGTAAAAAAACAGAGTAGAAACGGTCGTGAGGAATTCAGGGGGTTCGGATTTGAGAGAACACAATGGATGAATGCACCTGAACCATTGCAAACGATTTTGAGGTATGTCGTCCAAGGTCTCTAACCATCGGTGACTTTCGTCTCGCGGACCCCAACCAGGTAGCAGTCCAAACTCACCAACATGACTCAGTCCATTTTTCAGTGACCTCATGGATTTCTGCCATATTTTGGTTCTTCCGACCCTAACTTTCTTCCAACTTACTCCTAAACCACAAAACATAGCTCGTCGAGGCAGTCGATGGATAGGCATTCATAACACATGTCCTAACCACACCTCAACTGATGAAGTTTTACTACTTCATCTGTTGATCTGCCATCCTTACCTAATACTCGTTTCTTGACTATAGCACTGCTGACTCAACTGTCATAGGGTATACGAGCAATGCTTTGAAGACATTTATAATCGAATACTAATAACCTGAAAATGTCCTCTATGTCTTCACCGACTAGTCAGCAAGCGTGTCTCCTGGTAGAGAAGGTCCACTGCTAAAAAGTCAGATGATGGTAAATATTGTTAACTCTAAAAGCATATCTAAGACATGCCTTGCTGCTTTCGCCGATTAAGAAAAGTGAGATGTGGATTGGTTGGAGAGATTGAGTTGGTTTATATGAACCCGTACAGGGGTGTCTGTTCATGCAGCGACTGACTGGATATCCGACTAACCTGCGAGAGAAACTAGACAACATGTTCGTATCCTCTTGTGTATCAACATTCATGTGAACTTTTTTCCTGTTGTGTAAAAAGTAGCGTATACATGCGCATATACTGCAGGCATATTAGTTGACACCAAATATAAAATAGATTATTAAAACAAACCGAACTTACCAATGTTTGTAAACAAGGTGGATACATGAATATAGTTTTAATTCGATTACTAAGCAAATTATTCTCTGTTTCATTTGATATTTGATCAAAATATTTCAACTGTCTATTAATTGTATACATGATAGATGATAGATTAGTTAAATTTTCCTCTACAACGGTAATGTCTTCTTCAAACAATTTCGGATAACTACTACTACTACTACTACTACTACTACTACTACTACTACTACTACTACTATTCAATATGAAATCATTTTTATTCAATGCAATAATTGGACATTCACATGGACATTCACATTCACGTAATTCCAGACGAGCACAATTTAAACATAAACGATTTTTTATTGAACATGGACAAAATCCTGTACGTGGACTACAACCTAATCGTTGATGTTCATTAATCAAACCGAAAATTAAATTACTTTCTGGTATTGTCCAAAACTATAATAAAAACAAAAAGAGAGATTGAACATTGAAAATGACTTGAAAATTAATTTTATTTAAATATTGTTATGTTTGTCAACAGTTAATATGCTTGAATGATATTACGAAATCATCTTAGTCGGTAGACGTGAACAAAGACATATGATCCAGTGACACATGATAGGCTACTCTAATCCGACCGTCCCAAACCCCCCTAACGGTATCAAAAAGTCCTGATACGGCGTGCAAAGTGTATTCTACAAGCACACAGAAAATGAGTCTTTGTACATAAGAAGAAGAAGAAGAAGAGGAGCATCAAACTTTACAGACAATGCATTTTCATACAGTTAGGTCGACCTTGAATACTAACTAACCAATAGGAAACAACATTTGAAAGTATGTGAACCTGGTAGTTTAAGAAGACGACCTTAAATATTGACCACTGGACCACTGAGATGGTATTTAACGGTGTTAATGTCTAACTTCGATCAATTCACGGTCTTACGCATTCTCATACACTGTCTTCGGTAGTTGCTGTCTACACCCGAACAGGTTGAACTATACTGATCACGACCTCTCACTAGAACTAGGAGCTAGTCACTAGTGAGCACAGGTAATGTAAAAACCGAACATCAGTCAAGCTATTAGTGATCATTACTGAAAATGTAAGTATTAATTGTTATCCCATTACCAGAAAAAAAAAGAACAGGAAAACTTTTCATCTCACTATGATTTTACAATTCTTGTTCCCGAATCTATTCATGCCATCGAATCATTGATGCCTAGCCGAGGAGTCCTACAAAATATTCCTCTTTAATGTCACTTAGACGCCCAGAAGTGTTGTAGAACGGTTTGTTCAATTAGCTAGCGTTGGGTAGAATCTTCCAATAAGCAAGAATCTAGAAAAGTGAAGAGCCATGTTTCTGGTTCGAGTTACTTAGGTATAATTATAGTATGATTTCAGAAACTTCCAGTGGCACAACAAGGTCACATATAACTGTATGAATACCCCTTGTTTTCTCCTGTACATCAAACAAACCTTGAAGTAAAGTATACATCTTAGAACTTGTTATAATTCTCTCTTTATATTACAGCCCAGATATTCCTCCTACTAATGCTTAGTATTCTTGGACACCAATTCACTCGAAACGTTCTCTCGCAGTCAGAACACGGTTGAACAAGAAAAATTAGATTATATTCCAATAACAAGGTTAGATGGAAGTCAGTCAGTCAGATGCAACGTAGAACTTTGTACGTAAGTACATCAGTTCATGTTGCCATACCACATTAGCACAGAGATGTAATTGTCAATTCAACTCCAATAGTAGAAGAGATAGTAAAGGTATTATAAGTATTCGGAGAGGTTAGGATTAGAAGATATTATTCAAGAAGTATGATTCAGTAAGAAAAGTTTAGAAAGTCAAAACTAGAGTTGTTGAAGAATCCAGAAGATTAGGATTTGAGAGAACATAAAGAATAAATACACCGGCGCCATTCCGACCTATTCTGAGCCATGTCATTCAGGGTCTCTAACCATCAATTATTATCATCTCGCGGACCCCAACCAGATAGTCGACAACTACCGACATGGCTAAGTCCACTCGTCAATGACTTCATGGATTTCTGCCATGTTTTGGTCTGGCCGACCCTAACTTTCTTCCAGTCTACTCCTACATCACAAAACTAAGCTTGTCGAGGCAGTCAGTGGTTAGGCATACGCAACACATGTCCCAACCACGTCCACTGATGAAGTTTCAGTACTTCATCTATTGATCTGCCATTCTTACCTAGCACCCGTTTCCTAATAACAGCGATGCTCACTCGGGTGTCCTAGGATATACGAGCAATGCTTCGAAGACACCTATGATCAAAAACCAGTAACTTACGAATATCTTCTACTCTACTGGCCATGTTACACAGCCATAAAGTAAGACGGAGCGAACTACTGTGCAGTACAGACGGTTCAAAGGAAAAAGACATTATTATATTTACAGTTTTCTTACATGATAAGATTCTACAATGTTCCCTTAGTATCGACTAGCGCTGATTGGTGCATACGAAATAGCCAATATGAGCGTACAACAACGCAATCATCCTTTTTATTTCCAATCTATGTCCCACTAACAACAGCACTACACTTCATTTCTGTTTTATGTGTTCAAGTTGCCGTATAGATTTAAACTGACAAGAGGAGGAGGATATAAGTAGTGACTAGACAATCGGATCAAGCATTGATCACGCATGTAACAGAACTTATTTCAAAATAGATATATATATATATAAACAACAAATCACCTGATATTCAACACATTGTTCACCAGATGGTACACTATTACTACTTGTCGTAACAATTCGATCATTTATGGATAAATTAAATTTATATTGACGTTGTAATCTACGTTGATTATAATTTAAACAAATAGTTTTTTGTAGAAAATTTTCATGATTTAACAAATCTGCGGCAACAATTGGTTCACTGAAAAAAAACAACAAAGTGATAGGGAAATGATAAATGAAAAATATTATCATTGTATTTAGGGTATTGTGTGAAGATTTTTGTTAAGTTACATTTTTTTTGAAATCACATGAATGTTAGATGACCAGCATTAGAAACCAAAGCTGGAAGCACTGGACGGCCGTTTTGTCCTGATGTGGGACTCCCCAGCAGTGAGCATCCATGACTCCTGCACCCCGCAGGACTCGAACCCAGGACCTTCGGTATTGTGCGCGAACGCCCTAACCGTTAGACCACTGGGCCGGTATCCAACGGTGTTAATGTCTAACTTGATCAAATTCATGGTATTGGACTTATCAGCAATGTGCATCCATCACTCCTGCATCTCGAAGGATTCGAACCTGGGACCTTCGGTCTTGCGCGAGAACACCTAACCTTTGAACCACTGATCTGGTACCTAATGGTGTTAATGGCTAACTTCAATCAATTCATGGAGTTGCGTAACCTCATACATTGTCCCCAGTTTGTTTGCTTGTGGGATTAGTTGAGAAACAAGTATGTAGGTGTTGGGGATGTTAGATCCCCAAAACTCGCTTGATAAATGCCTTATTTCGTTTTTCACGTTTGCCAGCATCGGCTGATCAGTTGACCTTGAGATTTCATTTCGCACCAGTAAATCCATGGCAGTGATTGGCTGCTGTGTTATTTTCGTAACTGATATATAAATAAACGAGAGTTTTATGCTTGATTGTATTGTGATTGCTGGATGTTTGTAGAATAAACTTTCCACGCTTACCAAGACTTCCGTTTAAGGCTTGGGATTCAAGTTATCCTACCTGGACGCTGGTAATTGTCTCATTCACGTTTATCGACTAAGATGAACTCGTAATAGCTTCAAGCGTACCTAGTGATGAACATAGCAGTATGTATGTGTGTCATGCTTTCTGAGGATTGAAATTTCACTTTTATCTGAACTAATCGTTCAAATTGAATTTAAGTACCCGGTGTAAACACACGCACACATAGAAGCATTCAGTAAATCACAACTATTGGACTATGGAATTTAAAAATATAATTTCAACTGACTAGAGTCCCCTGTAAATACCATGTATAATAGAATAGATTGATTAACAGCAAACTTTATCAATTGAGGTGGTTGGGACATGTGTTACAAATGCTTAACCACTGACTGCCTCGTCGAGAGCTCTGTTTTGCGATGTAGGAGTGGGTTGGAAGAAAGCTAGGAGTGGCCAAACCAAAACATAGCAAAAATCCGTAAAGTCACTGACAATTGGATTGAGTCGTATAAGTAGGTGTTGAAGTTCGAGATTGATATGCTTGAATTCTATTACGAGTTCGCCTTACTCGGTAAACAGAGCGCTGATCAATGATGCAGTGACACGATAGGCTATTCTATTCCGTTGTCCCCGGCCCGGGTAACTCTATCAAGAAGTCTTGATAAGGAGTAGGGAATGTATTCTATAAGCACCCAGAGAGTACGAACGAGGTCGACAAACACACAAATCGAGTTTATTTATACAGGATAAAGACATCCTTGAGAGAGCCACTAAATAGAGTACTAAAATAATCCATCAACCAATGACAGTGGAGGATTTTCCGAGTGCGGAATATAAGCCCAAGGTCAACTAAGCAACCTATGCGTGAAAACCTAAAAAAAAATTCAAAACTAGGACCTTCTCCAAATGAGTTCTAGGGACTTAACGTCCCCACATAGCGATACTGAATGACATAACTGAAGATTGTTTGTAATGGCGAAGATGCATCCATTGTTTGTCTTCCCTGAGATTCCAATCATCTGAAATGCTCATGACGCTGTTTTCGCGTTTAAAATTTATTTCTCTGGATATGATTCTCGATTCATATCTATGAACCTTGATCTTCTTCATTACTGCTAACATTTCTACTTCTTCTACTATTACTATGAGATTTGAATTGGCATTCCCGTCTCTCTGTGTGTAAGTTCTAATGTGTGTGGTATTGCAACTTGGGATGATGTGTGTATGTATGACTTACACTTTATGATATTTTTTTTATGTATGTAAATTTCAAAAGAAGTGTGGTGCGCGCTACTTATAAGTAGTATATGACGCGAGTAAAAACGTAATGTCTGGCAGCACAAGATGGGAGAAGATCAAGAGAAAGGAAGAAGAGTGGGAACACAATGGAATTTGTATGAAACGCATGCATAGTGACAATGGATTGATATTTTGCGAATTAACGATTTACTATATGGTTTTCCGATTTTACTGAGTAACTCTGTAATTTTCGTTAAATACAATTCGGTTGCACTCACCGGTGTACTCCTTCACTACAGAAGCATTATTGTACAACAACTTAACGGTTGATTGCAAAACTAAACATTCATGATATATTTATTTATTTAAAATAATAATAATAATAATAATAATAATAATAATAATAAGGCAAACAAACGAAATTTTGAATCCTAGTAAAATAATTTCAATTAACCATTTATTCATTTACAGTAAAAATTAACAGACTATTTAAGATACATTGGTTAGTTCAGTGAATTAGTTATAATGTAGAATGTCGTAGGCACGTACATCAGTAGTGTTCAAGTTGTCATACTACATACACATTAGCACACAGAGAGATGGAATTAGCAGTAAACCTGAATTTTCGAAGTTGGTCAGTCAGCTACAACGTAGAACGGACAGACGGACGTAAGCACGTACATTAGTGTTCAAATTGCCATATCACATTAACACACTGAGACACAATTGTCAGTTCATATCCTATAGTGGTAGATGTAATAGAAGTATTAGCATTAATGGAGTACATTGGAGTTCGAAGATATTATTCAATAAGTATAATTCAGTGTGAGATAAGGTTAGAAAGACAAAGGTAGAGGTGCTGACGATTCCAGAAGATTAGGATTTGAGAGAGCACAACGAATGGATGCACTTGCGCCATTGCAAACGATTTTGAGCCATGTCATTCAAGTTCTCTAACCATCGGTTACTATCATCTCGCGGACCCCAACCAGGTAGTTGACACATACCAACATGACTCAGTCCACTTGTCAGTGACTTCATTGATTTGTGACATGTTTTAGTTTGCCCACCCCTAGCTTTCTTCCAACCTACTCTTGCTTTGTAATCGTGCTGGAGAGATATTTATTTACATGTCATTTTGACGTTAATCTGAATCAGAAATAAATTGAACAGCATATTAGTCCATACGCCTGTTTTCTCTCTTCCAATCGCTTACCAGCATATATATCACAGATGACAGAAGCTTAACTTCCCTTATGTCTTAAGGTCGGACTCATAGATGATTGTTAGCCACCAGGTTGAACTAGATAGCCTACCCTACCATAAACAAAACCTTAGATCAATCAGAGTTATACATTAAACACCGTTGGATGCCGGCCTGCTCAGTGGTCCGATGGTGTTAGGCGTTCGCGTACAATACCGAAGGTCCCGGGTTCGAATCCTGTGAGGAGGTGCAGGAGTCGTGGATGCGCACTGCCACTGATGAGTAGTCCCATGCCAGGACGAAACGGTCGTCTTTCAGTGCTTCCAGGTTTCCAATGGTGCTCTGTCTAATAATGATTGATTGATTGATGATTTCAAATGCTTAAAAACTTAAATTGTCGGACAAATTCTTTCAAGTGTAATTAGTTCAACGACAATGTCATAACACAACAGATTACTTACTTCTTTGCAGAAAAAAATAAATTTTCAATTTAGAAAAAAGAAAAACTTACTGAAAACTTAAATGATTCTGTTCTAATGGTCCTTCACCACCACCACCACCACCACCTTGTATACTTCTTGTATCATAAAAATTAGGATGAGCAATTAAATAACCTTGATCATTGATAAGTAAACATCGTGATTGCATGTGGTTTTTTGATTGATCAATTAAATGTTGAGGATATAAAAGAGGATTACTGTGATTATTATTATTATGATTATTATTACTGTTATTAACATTGGATTCAGCGGACATTGTATTGTGTTTGATGAAAGCCGAGAAGGAATCATCATTCTCTCTAAATAAACTATCTAAACTTTGATTGATAACTTTTTCCAAATGTTGTTGCTGTTGGTGTTCTCCGAACACTATGGAAGACGACGATGTGTCAGATGTCAGATGTGTGAGATTAACTTGTTTTAAAAATTCTCCACATTCTGGTAACCATCCATTGGATGATAGCATAAAACTTAAAAATCGATATGTTACATCCATACCAATCACAGCAGAGATTTTATTCATTTCATGTGAATGTATACCACCACGGGTATAACTAGAACTGATAAAAAGTTGAGAAAAATGTTTTTTACAAGAGAGAAAAACAAAGGATTAGTACAAAAAAAGTTAACTTTGCCTTATAAAAAAGAAAACTTTCTAAGTTTGTTATGACTAGTCATCATTTGATATGCTTGAATGTTATTACAAGTGTGGTGCTGTGGTGCGAGCTACTTATAAGTAGTAGTATATGACGTGAGTGTCAACGTAATGTCTGACAGCAGAAGACGATGGGGGAAGATCAAGAAAGGAAGAAGAGTGGGAACATAATGGAATTTGTATGAAGAAACGCATGAACAGTGACAATGGATTGATGTTTCGCAACAGGAACAGTCCAGTTCGATATGATGATGAACTGATATTTTGCAAATTAACGATTTACAATATGGTTTTCCGATTTTACTGAGTAACTCTGTAATTTGAGATAAATACCATTCGGTTGCCCCACCTGTGTTCTCCTTCACTAGTTCACAAGTTCATCTTAGTCAGTAGTAAACGAGAGTGAAGACATATGATCTAGTGACATGATAGGCTACTCTAATCTGAGAGTCCTAAGGTCCCACTCACTAAGTAGAGGGAGTAGTTTTGACAAGCAACCAGAAAATATGAGGTTCTCAAGCATACAAATCAAGTTTATTGATATATGATAGAAATGTCCTTGGGAGAGTTACAAAAATAGCATACTAAAATAATTGATCAACCAATGACAGTCAAGGATTTCCCGAGTGGGAAATGTAATCTCAAAGTCAACTAGGCAGCTTATGCTCCGGAACATAAAAAATCGAAAAATTAGGACCATTTCCAAGTAAATTTTGGGGATCTAACGTTCCCAATAAAGTGTTTAGTGATAACCGCAAGTCTAGATATAATAATAGAACGAGAGTGAAGAATGAGGGGTTAAACAAATAACCTCATAGCGTCAACAATAACCTTGTGAAGAAACGTTAACCAAAAAAAGATTATTTAGACCATTTGAACTCTGCCCTTATAATTTAGAGGTCTTCATTTATAGAGATTTATGATTCCCCGTAGTGAAAGTTGACGTTTTTCGGAAATCACAAGGTTGAAGCGAAGTTCCTTCCGACACAATCAGGACAACAATTAATACACGTATCATAGAATGTCTACATTAATGTAAGAGAGGTGTTAAAGGTACTCTGGTTTTATGAAGAAGAAAATATCGCGTACACACAAGCAGTTTCAATAATGTTGTCCAAAGAAGCACGGATAACACTTACAGGATGTGAATCTCATTGTTAACAAGATCATCAGTACATCCTTAGAGAACAGCTATGCGCCTACCACTGATACCAGCGGAAATGATAAAGATCAATTTTTAATGAGAGGCTACAGTTTGGTCGTAGAGAAATATCCAGGAAAAAAAGACTTGACCATCTCATGATAGTAGACCTACATACTTCGGTCGGTGGGAATGGACAACAGTAGAAATGAATAAAAGCCAGTGAGAGATTCGCAAATTCATGTACCTTCAACAAAATGGTTATAGGTGACAATATATTCCCAGCCCCCCTGCACAATCGCAGATACAAAGCTACATCGATCTACTAGTATTACATGATAATATGTAGAATGTAGATCTAGTTACTCGTAGTACTTTATCGCGAAATTTGTGGATCAAAATCGCACCCGTTTCTGGAAATAATGCAGTTATTACTTAGTGTAACACATAAAAATTGATGTCAGTATCTTAAATGATCACTAAATACGCCCTTATAACGTATATTTATTCTTAAGAAATATATATTATGACTTGTCAGTTGATATGCTTGAACTATTACGTATTCACCTTAGTCGGTAAACGAAAGTGAAGACAAAATGATCCAGTGACATGATAGGCTACTCTAATCCGACTGTCCCAAAGCCCCACTGACGGTATTAAATAGTCTTGATATGGTGTAGAAAGTGTATTCTACAAGCACACAGAAAATATGAGGTTTTATACGGAAGAAGATGGGGAGCGTAACACTTTACAGACAATGCGTATTTATACACTTAGGTCGACCTTGAATACTAACCAATAGGAAACAACATTTAAAAGTATGTGAACTTGATAGTGAAGGACGACCTTAAATATTGACCAATAGAATTAGACTTAAAAAATAATTTCTTTAAGATGTTTAATGAATATAACCTGACACAAAGTTACAGATCGTGCGTATTTAAACATTTTTTTGTCGAATTTGGAAACAGTATCGAAGTCTGTGACATTGACAGTTAAGACGACCAATAGGAAGCAACATTGGAACACGTGACATTGATACCTAGGACGATCATAAAATTGACCAGTAGGAATTAACCAATAGGAATTGACCAATAATTCTCTTAGGATATTGGATGAATATCCTAACACCTAACTGAGTTTTTAGGCACTGGACATTCACTTTCCATACCGAAAACTTACAAGTTGATGTAAAATAAGAATAGCTATTGTTGTAAAACAGCTTAATATGAATCGTCAATACAATGAGTATGGTTATTTATTCATTACAGTGTGGTGCGCGCTACTTATAAGTAGTATATGACGCGCGAGTGTAAACGTAATATCTGGCAGCAGCAGATGGGGGAAGATCAACAAGAAAGGAAGAAGAGTGGGAACACAATGGAATTTGTATGAAACGCATGAATAGTGAGTGAAATGTCAGACAATGGATTGATGATGGATTGAATATTTGCAAATTAACAATTTACGATATGGTTTTCCTATTTTACTGATTAACTCTGTAGTTTTCGTTAAATACAATTCGGTTGCCCTGACCAGTGTTCTCCTTCACTACAACAGCACCAATAACCAATAGATTTCGAGACAACAACAATAACAACAGACTACCCAAAACATGCAATGGTCAAACTAAATTAAGCAAACACAAATAAGAAAAAATACAGTAAAGAAAAACTTACTTTCCTTCAAAAATTGTACGACTCAATGTATATATATAACCAACACCACTATCATCTAAATAAGGACCAGTAATAATTAAACGTCCAGGTAAAGCTAAAGCATGTTTATACCAAATTCGATTCGTTGGTTCATAAGTATGAGATAATAGAGTTCCAGGATAAATAAGCATTACACCATTGTCTGTAACCACATATCTAATAATCAATGAAAATGTTAATGAAATGAAATGAAATGATGAATTAATCAGTTTCATATAAATATTCATGTACAGTGGAGATTAAAGACTGATAACAATCATCGAGTTGACTACAACAACACCAACAACCATATATTGTTCGCTTGTATCTGTTTTGGTTTTAATTAGAGTTACGCATGCACACGTAAACAGAGAAAAGATAGATATCATGAATGTTAAAATTTATGTGATCTGTTGAGTACATTAGATCCCCCTGAACTTAAAATCTCAACAACATGAAAATTCTTAATCTGTCTATTACAAATGCATGGAAACCCTTCACTTTGATATGCTTGAATCATTATTACGAGTTAACCTAAGTCGGAAATCGAGAGAGGGGATCGATGATCCGGCGGTACGATAGTCTACTCTAATCCGATTATCCCAAACTCCCACTGAATAAAAGAAGAAGACATGATATGAAGTAGAACGTGCATTCTACAAGCATCCAGAAAGTACGAGGTCCGAGTCCAGAAGAGAATCAGGATCCCGGACTAGGGATCTAGGTTCGGGTCATAAAACGCTACAGATGATGCTTATGTATACAGTTAGGACCAATAAGAAACAACAATGAAGTATATGACATTGATAGTAAGGACGAGCATAATATTGATCAGTAGGAATTGACCAACAGAATTAGACTTACAAAAATAATTCTCTTAGGATATTTGATGAATATCCTAACAGTGACTCAGTCTTCAATTACAACAGATTTTGTCATAAACTTAAGCAATCAACAAAACCAAAAAAGTAACAACTATTTTACACAATTATTATTATTATTATTTAAAATAAAAACACTCTGATATTTAGAAGTATTCGCCAATGCGCGTAACCAATAATACAGTAGAATTTTTTTAAAAAAAGAGCTAAGATGATCCAGTCTCTTTGTGTGTGTATGTGGTTATAGACAGACAGACAGATACAACGCAGAACTTCGTACATAAGTACATAAGAGCAATGCTTCGGAGACATCGATGATCGAAGATTAGTAACCTACGAATGTCCTCTACTCTTAACGGCCATGTTTCTCATCCGTATAGTAGGACAGAGCGAACTACTGCACAGTACACTCATCCTTTAGTCAACAAACGGATATCTCGCCTACGCCATAAGTGACGCAGGTTGGCAAAAGCCAACCGAGTCTTCTGTATCCGAGCTGAGATTTCGTCAGTCACCAGGGCATCAGCACTGATGAAACTCCCGAGATAAGTGAAACAGTCTATACGTTCGACTCTATGGGGGTATGAGGGAGGATGTTACTTCCCGGCTGTCCACACCGTAGAAGGGTTCTGAGTGTCAGAAGGGACATCGGCCTCATGACTTCCGAAGGAACTCGGCTTTCATCATGAGATGTTATAATTCTTCCAAATAAAGACTTTACTCCCAGAGCAGAGTTTATATGGCTTACATTGTTTTCTCTTGCTAGCGTTTGTCTAACGAGTTGGTTTTCAACGGGATGGGGTCGCGAACCGCATGCCTAACCCTAACAATTTACCCGGGCTTGTGACCGGCAGTGGCCACGAAAGGTCTACAGGCAACTTGAACTGATTTACGTACACCTACGAAGTTCTACATTGTAACTGACTGATTGACTGATCAATTACCACAGACCATAACCGCAAAACCCCAAAACGTAATATTCATTATATAACTAAAACACCATAAAAATTTCACAACGAAATAATAATCATTCAGTCTAAACACAACACATACCGTCTAACAATGAAATCACTTAATTCACTGACATGATGTCGATGTATCCAAAATTTTCCAATTCTTTCTACAACAGCTACAGATGTTCGAATCGATGGTGTTGTTGTACTAATAATGGCAGTTAAACCTGGATCTGTGATCAATACAGTAGTATGATCGAATAGATAAGCAATTAAATGACGTATATCATTCAAATTCTCTGCATAACCTTGTGTTAAACGAATAAACGGTCGAGCGAATGCACGTGGTGACAAATAAATGGTACCAAAATCTTTTGGAAAAGAAATTAAGAGAAATAAAAACAAACAAATTCATGATGTTACAAATAGAATGAAGTAAAAAACTGATCGATACTAAATAAAGGCAATTTCAGCAAGTGTGAGAATTACAGAGGCATCACTCTTCTGTCAATACCAGGCAAAGTCTTCAACAGAGTATTGTTAAACAGAATGAAGGACTTCGTAGATGCCCAACTTCGAGATCAACAGGCCGGATTTCGTAAGGATCGGTCATGTACTGACCTAATTGCTACATTACGGATCATTTTGGAACAATCAATTGAATGGAACTCACCACTCTACATCAACTTCATCGACTACGAGAAAGCATTCGATAGCGTGGATAGGAAAACACTGTGGAGACTTCTTCGACACTACGGTGTGCATAAGAAAATAGTTAACATCGTACGCAATTATTATAATGGATTCAACTGCAAAATCGTACACGATGGACAGCTAACAGATCTTGCAAGGTGAAGACAGGTGTCAGGCAAGGTTGCTTACTCTCAACCTTTCTCTTTCTCCTGGTCATCGACTGGATTATGAAGACGTCGACATCTGGAGGGAAGCACGGTATTCAGTGGACAGCTAGGACGCAGCTGGATGATTTGGACTTCGCATATGACCTGGCTCTTCTATCGCACACGCAACAACAAATGCAAGAGAGGACGACCAGTGTAGCAGCAGCCTTTGCAGCAGTAGGTCTCAACATACATAAAGGAAAAAGCAAAATTCTCCGATGCAACACAACATACACCAATCAAATCACTCTTGTTGGAGATGCCTTGGAGGACATTAACACCTTTACATATCTAGGCAGCATCATCGACAACCAAGGTGGATCCGATGCAGATGTGAGGGCGCGGATTGGCAAAGCGAGGGCTGCATTCCTACAGTTGAAAAATATCTGGAACTCCAAACAACTTTCAAACAAAAGCAAAATAAGGATTTTCAATACAAATGTCAAGACAGTTCTACTGTATGGAGCGGAAACTTGGAGAACTACGAAAGGCATCATCCAGAAGATACAAGTATTTATTAACAGTTGTCTACGCAAAATACTTCGTATTCGTTGACCAGACACGATCGACAACAATCTACTGTGGGAGAGAACAAACCAGATTCCAGTGAAGGAGGAAATCAGGAAGAAGCGGTGGAAGTGGATCGGACACAAATTAGGAAAAGCACCGAACTGCGTCACAAGACAAGCCCTTACTTGGAACCCTCAGGGCAAAAGGAAAAGAGAAATGCCAAGGAACATATTACTCCGACAAATAGATAAAGACATGAGAATAATGAACAAACACTGGACAGAATAATTAAAACGCTGAAGTAGTTCAGACAAGAAAGCTGAAAGAAATGCGTTGTAATTTTCTGATAATTTCAACTGTTAAGATTAGTTCAAATATAATTTTCACAAATAATGTCATCCATAAAGCTGCATAACTTTGGAAATTAAGATTTTACATTTGAAATATGACAAAATTCATCTTAAAGTCGTTGAAAATTCTACAATCATTCATCATCATTATCAAAGCGTTTCACATGTCTAGTGCTATCTTGTTTTATTGTTTCTGCAGTGATTAGTTTTTGAAAGAGGAGAATTATTTCCAAAACAACATCATCTTCACAAAATCACTAAATGAGATTGTACAAGACAGAGGATTGAGTGAAGTTAGACATTAACACCGATGAGTGCCGGTTCAGTGGTCTATATGGCTAAGCGTTTGCGCACAGGATCGAAAGTCATAGATGTGCACTGCCAATGAATGATGAGTCTCATGTTAGAGACGAAATAGCCACCTAGTGCTTCTAAGTTACCAATGATGATTGCTATGCTCGTCAGATAGATACGCTTGAACTATTACGAGTTCACCTCAGTTGTTAAACGTGAGCGAAGACGAATGATCCATTGACATGATAGGCTATTCTAATCCGAGCGTCCCAAGACCCCACTAACGGTATTAAAAGGTTTTGATATGGTGTAGAAACTGTGTTCTACAAGCAACCAGAAAATAAGGGGTTTCGTACAGAAGAAGAAGAGTAGTATAAAACTACAGAAAGCGCATATTTATATAGTTAATTCGACCTTGAATACTAACCAATAGGAAACAAGATTTAAAAGTATGTGAAATTGATAGTTTAAAAAGACGACCTTAAATATTGACCAATAGAATTTAAACTTACAAAATAATTTGTTTAGAATATTTAGTGAATATCATTCATGACTATGATCTAACAACGATTATTGACCCATAAATTCATAGAAAATTAATTTAATAAATAACAAGCCTTTCAGCTAAATAAATTTAACTAAAATGAACAGTAAAATGAAATGCCATCTTTTTTTTAATCAAACAAACTCACTCACCAAACGATATAAGCTGATTGAGGAAACGACATTTTTGTGGTTCTTTCAATAAATCCAAACGATGATAATAAAAATCAAATTCTGGAACTAAACAGAATAAAAATAATATCAAATTTTGATTGAAATGTTCTCTATGAATATTAAAATCAATGTGCAATGTGTTTAATAAAGTTACACACATTTCGAAATCATGAATCGATTAATTAAAAATGTTAGACTACCAGTGTGGTGTGTGCTACTTATGCGAACGATATAAGTAGTATAAGAAGGGACATGAAAGAAGAAGAAGTCTCACGGTCAGAAGAGGAAAACAGCAAGCAAATGGAGCAAAAGCAAGAAATGAATGGAGTACCAACAGGAATGGAAGAGGGATGGAGTGTTGGCAGTCACGATGGTGTGCAAATAGAGTATTCAATGTAATGTTTTCGTTTTTAACTAACTCAAAGTGTAAATTTGCATAATACAATCTTCCTCGCCTGCCTCAGTCTTCGCACCACCACCATTAGAAACCTGGAATAAGCACTGATAGACGGTTGTTTCATCCTAGTATGTTACTCATCAGCAGTGCGCATGCACGACTCCTGTACCCCGCAAGATTCGAAGCCAGGACCTTCGGTACTTATATAAATATTATATTACATTAATAGAGAGAGTTATACAGATTGTTGAGTTTGAGTGGAATGATAAAATTGATCAATTGTTTTAGACGATCATTATTTTAAAGATATCATTTTAAATAATAACTTTTCATTGACTTAGGATATGATAATGCTTGACTGCTTTTGTTATTGACTATTCCGTAGGAATTTTGAATTTTTCATAACACATAAATTAAAGGAGTTTATCAACTATGTCAATGATTCACATAACATAAGTGTAAGGGACGTAAGATCCCCAGAACTCATTTGATGAAAGTCCTAATTTCGGATTTTATGTTTTCGAACATAGGTTGATCACTTGACCTTGAAATTACATTTTTCACCCGGGAAATCCTTGACTTTCATTGGTTGATGTAGTACTTTAGTACGCAATTTTTGTGGTTCTCTAAAAGACATATCTATCATGTATAAATAAACTTAATTTGTGTGCTTGTTAAACTCATATTTTCTGAGTGCTTGTTGAGCTCTCTCAAATCCTAATCTTCTGTATTCGTCAGCACCTCTACATTTGTCTCTCTAACCTTATCTCACTGAATTGTACTTCTTGAATAATATCTTCAAACCCTAGGCTTCTTCATTAACATTAATACCGCTACTATCTTTATCACTATGGGATTTAATTTGACATCTGCGCCTTGGTGCTTATGTGGTATGGCAACATGAACTTTTGTACATACGTACGAAGTTCTACGTTGCAACTGACTGAGTGCTTGTAGAGTACACTTTCTAAGTCTTGTCGAGACTTCTTCATCTACTTAGTGAGGCCTTGGGACGCTTGGAATAGAGTAGCCTTTCATGTCACTGGATCATTTGTCTTCGCTCTCATTTACCGGCTAAAGTGAACTTGTAATAGTTTCAAGCATATCAATTGTTGACGAGCATAACAACGATACTTAAAGGTCAAATAATTTAATTATTGCTTTAGAAAAGTTCTTGAACTGTTACATTGTTCAGCCAGTCAGCAATAACATAAAACCTAGTACAGACGTATATCATTGTTCAAAAGTTTCCAAATCCTATTATCACACATAGAGAGAGAAATGGATAGAATTGTCAGTTCAAATCCGATATGTATTTAGTAGTAAAAACATTGTAACAGTAATAGAAATGGTAATCATAAAGACTAACAATCGAAAAACTGATTTGAGAAGTATAATCCAGTGAAATGAATTTAACAAAAGAGAAAAACGAAGGTCATGAGGAGGAATTCAGAGGATTAGAATTTGTGACGTGGGACAAACAATGGATGCGTCTGCGTCATTGCAAACGATTTTCAGCAATGTCATGTGTTGAGGATGTTAGATCCCCAGAACTCGCTTGATAAATGCCTTATTGTGGATTCCACGTTTGCCAGAATGGGTTGATCAGTTGACCTTGAGATTTCATTTCCCACCAGGAAAATCTTTGGCTGTGATTGGCTGCTGTGCATTTTAGTGTGCTATTTTCGTAACTGTCCCAAGGACGCTTCTATGATGTATAAATAAACGAGAGTTGTATGCTTGATTGTATTGTGATTGCTAGGTGTTGTAGAATATATTTTCTACGCTTACCAAGTCTTCTGTTTTGCAGTTTCGGATTCAAGGTAGCCTACATGGACGCGGGTAATTGTCTCATTCGTGTTTATCGACTAAGGTGAACTCGTAATAGCTTCAAGCGTACCAAGTGACGAACATAACATCATGCAAAGTCCCTAGCCACCGGTTGCTACTGTCTCGCGGACCCCAACCCATCAACATGGCTCAGTCTATTTGTCAGTTACTACATGGATTTGTACCATGTTTTAGTTTGGACGCCACTATCTTTCTTCCAACCTACCCCCATACATCAGATAATATTCGCTCGTTGAGGCAGGCGGTGATTAGGCATACGCAACACATGTCCTAACCACCTCAACTGATGAAGTTTCATTACTTCATCTATTGACCTGCCATCCTTACCTAGCACCCATCCAACCTACCCACATACATCAGATAATTGTCGCTCGTTGAGGCAGGCCGTGGTTGGGCATTCGTGAACACATGTCCCAACCACACCTCAACTGATGAAGATTCACTGCTTCATCATCAAGTAATCTGCTATTCTTACCTCTATTAAAATCATTTAACATTCAAAATTTCAATTTTCTACTGATTAATGAATCAATGAATGAATGAATGAAGTAACCTTTAACTGAAAAAACAATGATTTTTACATTACAAATAGATAAATAACGTTGAGAACATACTAATTGGTGAAAGTTGATAATTTTCCGAGCATAGCGATTGAACAGATCGTAACACTATTACAAATGGTGCATTCAAATCACGTATACGTTTCCAACGATAGACAATATGCAATGGTAATCGATGATCAGTGTTATTCTTATTGAATTTGACACATGTATTCATAATGCCAGATAAACCGAACAATTCCATTTCACTTCTTGTCTAAAACAACATCAACATGAACAACAACGAAAAAACATACACAAAAAATGAGAAAGATAGAAAAGAGAAAAGTATAGTAATGACTTATAATTACTAGTGTGGTGCGCGCCACTTATAAGTAGTATATGATGCGAGTGTAAACGTAATGTCTGGCAACAGAAGATGGGGGAAGATCAAGAAAGGAAGAAGAGTGGGAACACAATGGAATTTGTATGAAACGCATGAAAAGTGAAATGTCAGACAATGGATTGATGATGGATTGAAGATGTGCAAATTAACCGTTAACGATATGGTTTATTTTATTTTACTGAGTAACTCTGTAATTTTCGTTAAATACAATTCGGTTGCCCTCACCTGTGTTCTCCTTAACTACACTAGTATCACCTGAAACAATAAACCAGAATTTTCAGTCTCATACGCAAAAACGAATAAAGTTTTCAGGAGAACCAAAGAGACTGCCCACATGTTAGAATTTCAAAGTGAACAGTTCGGTTCAACCACGTGGTGCAACCACACAGGTACCTGACACCCTGGCAGACCATAATGGTGTTAATGTCGCAACGTCAATCAATTCACGAAAGTGGGCGACCACTCCCCATTATCTTCGATGGAAAACTGCCTTACACTCAACAAGCACTATTTAGCTTCAATGGTCAGAGAATTCTCATTGGAACTATGGAGATTTCCTCTCGAAGTTAATTACTAGTGAGCGCATGACAGCGGTCATCATTGAGGTGTCGTAGAGATTACTGAATTTCACTGAACTCATGATGAAAGTTGAATTACCACTGAAAATAGATTTCCAATGTAAGCTTGCAAGTTTTTAGTGGTGGTCTATGTCAAAATACATCAGAATTTCACTAGAATTCAACAATCTCTACAAATTTTTTACCTAAATTACTTTGTCTGGTCAGGATATGACAGAATGTCGATGCAGTAGTATTGTTCTGCACGAAAACTCAAGTGAGGACATCAACATCTATCTATATTTAAGCGAATATTACAGAGTTGTTAAGCATATCCACAAAAACCTTCCCGTGAAATCATCATTTGCAAACTAATCCTTATTTGTTTAAGAGTTCAGTGTTCTTTCATTTAGACTGTTCAGACTTTAGTTCACTTGACGTTACCTACAAATTGCCTTCTATTCTCTCATTCTTTCCTTCTCGATCTTTTGCTGTCAGACGTTTGATTTCCGTTTCATATCATATACTAATTATGTGAACATAAGTAGCGTAGACCACAGTATAACCAACCGTATAACGATTTAGTATCGTTTAGAAATATCATCATCAGTTTTTCTAATTATTTACAGCCCCAAAAAAGATATTGAACGAAAGAAGTTAAGTAAAACATTGTAACTATGAAGTGAGAGAGAAATTTTTTCTGCCTCAAAAACAGTTTAGCGGTAAGAAGAAATAAATTCCAATTTACAAATAATACATTTGATAACTGTTACGACGAATTGACAGCTTGAACTATTACGAGTTCACCTTAGTAGGTAAACGAGAGCGAGGATCGATGATTCAGCAGCACGACAGGCTACTCTAACCCAAGCGTACCAAAACCCCAATGAGTAGAAGAAGAAGAAGACTTGATATAAAGTAGAACGTGTATTCTACATCACATCCAGAGAGTACGAGATCTGAGTCCAGAAGAGGCTAAGGATCTCAGATCTAAGGATCCGGATCATAAAACGTTACAGACAATGCATATTTATACAGTTAGGTCGAATAAGAAAACAACATTGATAATTAGGACGACCAATAGGAATTAACCAATAGAATTAGACTTAAAAATAATTCTCTTAAGATATTGAATGAATATCCTAACCGAAAAAATTGATTTACGTTGATCATAGGGTAGTGTGGAGATCAATGAGTTTCTTCATTGAAAATCACAAATCGGCCAGTGTTTTAGACTATTATTAGAACCCTTAGAAGCACTGAAAGACGGCCGTTTCATCCTAGTAAATTTAGGACTAGTTATCATCAGTGACAGTGTGAATCCATGACTCGCTCTACTCACGGGAATCGAACCCAAGGTTGGTCTCACTAGCTGACTTAGAATATGCTGATGACATAGCTCAACTTGGTGAAGACGCTAACAAAATGCACTGGTCTTCTGACTATTATAAGCAACAATGCAAGCGTGTTCGGCATGCGGTTCTCCTGCTCAAAATGCAAAATGTTGCTTCAAGATTGGTTTGTATCGGCACCTGAACTAGTGATAGGCAGTGAAGTAGTTGAGCATGTTGACCGCTTCACTTATCTCGGGAGTCTCATCAGTGACGATGGCTTGGTGACTGATGAAATCTGAGCAAAGATACAGATGGCTCGATTGGCTTTTACCAATCCTAAGAGAATTATTGGTCTAATCCTATTGGTTAATTCCTACTGGTTGATTGGTCGTCTTAACTGTCAATGTCGCAGACTTCGATGATGTTTCCTATTCGACCTAAATGTATAGATACGCAGTATCTGTAAAGCTTTGTATTCCGTTCCTTCCTGCCTTCCTCTCAACTGTACTCGACCCATTAAACAACTTCATCTAACGGCGTTGTGTTCTGATATATAGGAGATTGGGAATAGTATTTGGGTCGTATTGGAATGTTTGAATTCGGACATCGGTAGGATTGAATAGCCAGCTACGTAGCAGCATTATGACAGTCACTTATGTCGCAGGCGAGATATACACTTGTTAACCAAAGGACGAGTGTACCGTGCAGTAGTTCGCTCCGTTCTACTATACGGATGCGAAACATGGCCTTTAAGAGTGGAGGACTTTCGTAGGTTACTAGTCTTCGACCATCGATGTCTCCGAAGCATTGCTCGTGTATCGTGGGAAAAATGTATAAGCAATGCTGTCGTTAGGAAACGATTTCTAGGTAGGGATGGCAAATCAATAGATGAAGTTTTGAAACTTCATCAGTTGAGGTTGTTGGGATATGTGTTAACTTCTCTTCCACTCGCCAACAATAACTCAGAATGAATCGTAAAAAGAATGCGTTGTTGGCCAGTTGTACCCCATGTCCAAGGAATAGGGGGCAAGAAGATACACGCAGTGATGGAAGACGGTCGCAGGAAGAAAAGTAAAGGCATGCGCAAAAAAAAAAAGAAATGCGAAGTGCAATGGAAAACACAACAAAAGGACAAAAATGGTGGAGATTAACCGTAGCCGGTCTAACCGGCTAGGACGATGGATTATGGGATGAAGTATTTAGAAATGTAAATGGATAAGTTGAATTGAGAGTCACAGTTTAAGTTGGGAATGACCCTTAAAATTGATACTCACGTTAATAGTATAGGTGAAATGCATACAAAAACTAGTTGACGTACTAAAAAATAAGGGAACATGAAGGTTCATAACAAAAAGTAAAAATAGTGTTAATGGTGAAAAAACACATTTAAAAAATAGTGACAACAGTGAAAAAACGTCTTGGTATCTAATAGATTGAGCTTCCACAAACGGGAATTTTACATTCGTAATATACGACTGCCGGAATGCAAAAGGAGTTATGGAAAAAAAAGGTATCCAGATGATGAATTTACTAATCATAGCGGAGATGTCCAAGACTGAGACTTGGTGTTGTAGTCTTGGTGTAATTCAGGTCTAGGTTAATGTGAACGTGAATAATTGCCAACCTAATTTGGTGATAGGAAAGTGTAGCACATATAGTTGTATGCGAAAAATAGAAAAAAAACCAATGTTAAATAACTATACAAGCGGGACCATATTTACTGTAATCCCAACACCGTGAAGGGGTGTATATGATGATGGTATGTGCGTGAGGTAATGAGTAAGGTGTAACATAAACAATACCAAAAGTGAGGTTGCAATTGGACGTCCTGTAATGTTTTTCTATGGAATACAGGACTGTAGTATTGTTGCATAGAGTTAGGGGAGTGCCTGAGTATTGATGATAATGCAGACAGTGATGCCCATCGAGAGAAATCGTACTTACACACAAGAACAAAGACATAGTCAAAATATAATTTATGAGAAGTGCCTATGGATGTGAATAAAGTTAAGAACATCCGTGGAACGCCTGCCCCAAGGCAAAAAATAATGATGTTGCGATGCAAGGTGAAGTTCATATATAATTGAATAATCATCCAGGTGTTTTGTTGCGTATCGCTTGAAAATCGCGAGAGATTAAAGGTGATTCCCTAAGGTGTAAAGATGGTTATAATTGGATCAAATATTATGAATTAAGTGATAACATTCAGAATGCCATGAAAAAATTATAATCATAAGGAGAATTATTATCAAATGCGAATAAAATTCCGAAAGATCATGCAGCCGATACACACTCAACGAATACCTATGCAATTGAAAAAATTAAACGCAAGGGAAAACAGCATATATGTTGATGATGGAAAAAGTGAAGTCAATACAGAAAAAATAAAATACATTAATATAAAAAATTCGGGGAGTCAGAAATAGGTCACAGTGACTAGCTAGTACATATTTGGTCGAGGTACACAAAAACTGTGTGAAATTTTCTCGCCAAGAGCGCGTGAGCAATCTCTCATTAGCGGCGTCCCACAACGACAACGACCACAACAACAACAACAACACCAGTCTATATTAAATCCGGATATTAGTAAATTAGAATGGATACCTGGTTTTCATTCCTTGGTTCGAAATCGTATATTAAATGAATTCACTGGTGAAATCAATCTATTGATAACACTTGTACGTTGTCCATTTTTAATTGTTTTAAAATTATTATTTTAATGTTTATCCTTCATGTTACATTATGTTGTTATGACACGTCAACAGTTGATATACTTGAATGTTATTACGAGTTCATTTTAGTCGGTAAACGGAAGGAAGCTAAGACAAATGATCCATTGACACGATAAGCTACTCTAACATGAGCACTCTAAGGCCCCATTTTGAGTAGAGGAAAAAGTCTTGATAAGGAGTAGAAAGTGTATTCTACAAGCACTTAGAAAAGATGAGGTTTTTTTAAGCACATGAATCGAGTTTATTTATAGATGATAGAAACGTCCTTGCAAGAGTCGCATCAACTAATGATAGTCAAGGATTTTCCGAGTGAGAAATGTAATTTCAAGGTCAATTGATCAGCCCATGCGTGGAAATATAAAATCCAAATTAAGGACCTTCATCAAGTGAGTTCTGGGGATCGAACGTCCCAAACACATTTTTATGCACTCTAAACGTCGTCGATTATTATTTATATAACTAGTGTTTTTTTGTTTGTTTATTGTCGTTGATTATTTCGATAAATCTCAGTATAAATTGAAAATTTAATAGTTCTGACTGAAGGTTGATTTACGCTTAGCTATCGACTTTGTTTGTTTTGACCCCAAATACTGTTCCCCAATCCCCAATATATACCAGAAAGCAACACTGTTAGATAAAAGTTGTTTATGCGGTTGCGATTGCACAAGCAATGAAAGAATGAATAATAATAAGCTTTTACAGATAATGCAATATTTATACAGTTGTGGACAACCAATCAGAAACAACATTGGAGTACGTGACATTGATATCTAGGACGACCATAAAATCAACCAGTAGGAATTAACCAATAGGAATTGACCAATAATTCTCTTAGGATATTGGATGAATATCCTAACAGTGACACAGGTTGGTAAAAGCCAATCGAGCCATCTGTATCTTTGCTCAGATTTCATCAGTCACCAGGTCATCGTTACTGATGAGACTCCCTAGATAAGTGAAGCGGTCAACATGCCCAACTACTTCACTCCTTATCACTAGTTAAGGTGCCGATACAAGCCAATCCTGAAGCAACATTTTGCATTTTGAGGGGGAGATTCGCATCCTGAACATGCTTGCATTATTGCTTATGGTAGTCAGAAGATCATTGCATTTTGTTAGCGTCTTCACCAAGTTGAGCTGTGTCATCAGCATATTCTAAGTCAACCAGTGAGACCAACATTAAAAAAACCTCTGGTTCGATTTCCGTGAGTAGAGCGAGTCGTAGATTCACACTGCCACTGGTGATAAGTAGTCCTGAATTTACTAGGATGAAATGGCCGTCTTTCAGTGCTTCTAGAGGTTCTATTGATAGACTAAAACACTGGTCAATTCATGATTTTCAATGAGAAACTCAACAATCTCCACACTACCTTATGATCAACGTAAATCAATTTGTTGCGGTTAGGATATTCATTCAGTATCGTAAGCAAACTGTTTGTAGGTCTAATTCTATTGGTTAATTCCTATTGGTCGTCCTAATTATCAGTGTTGTTTCCTATTCGACCTAACTGTATAAATATGCATTGTATGTAACGTTTTATGATCCGGATCCTTAGATGTGAAATCCTTAGCCTCTTTTGGACTCGGATCTCGTACTCTCTGGATGTGATGCAGAATATACCTCGTTCTACTTCATATCAAGTCTTCTTCTTCTACTCATTGGGGTTTTGGGATGCTCGGATTAGAGTAACCTGTCGTGCTGCCGAATCATCGATCCTCGCTCTTGTTTACTGACTAAGGTGAACTCGTAATAGTTCAAGCTGTCAATTCGTTGTAACAGTTACCGAATGTATTTATTATTTGTAAAGTGGAATTTATTTCTTCTTACCGCTAAACTGTTTTTGCGGCAGAAAAAATTTCTCTCTCACTTCATAGTTACAATGTTTTACTTAACTTCTTTCGTGTAATATTTTTGTTTGGGCTGTAAATAATTAGAAAGCCTGGTGATGATATTTCTAAACGATAACAAATCGTTATACGGTTTGTTATATTGTGGTGTACTCTACTTATGTTCACATAAGTAGTAGTATATGATTGTCAAACGGAAATTAAATGTCTGACAGTAAAAAAATCGAGAAGGAAAGAATGAGAGAACAGAAGGCAATTTGTAGGTAACGTAAAGTGAACTGAAATCTGAAACAAATAAGGATTAGTTTGCAAATGATGATTTCACGGGAAGGTTTTGTACATATGCTTAACAACTCTGTAATATTCGCTTAAATATATGTTGTTGATGTCATCAACTGGGTTTTCGTGCACAACAATACTACTGCATCGAAATTTTGTCATATCCTGACCAAACAAAGTATTTTAGGTATAAATTTGTAGAGATTGTTGAATTCTATTGAAATTCTGAAGTAATTTGACATAGACTGTATTGAATGAGAACTCGGGTGAGGGCAACCGAATTGTATTTAACGAAAATTACAGAGTTACTGAGTAAAATCGGAACGCCATATCGTAAATCGTTCATTTGCAAAATATCAGTTCATCATATCGAACTGGATTGTTCCTGTTGCAAAACATCGTCAATCCATTGTCACTATTCATGCGTTTCATACAAATTCCATTGTTTTCTAACTCTTACTTTCTTGATCTTCCCCCATATTATGCTGCCAGACATTACGTTGACAATCACGTCATATACTACTTATAAGTAGCTCACACCAGAAGACCACCACTAAAAACTTGCAAGCACACACTGGAAATTTGTTCATAGTGGTTATTCAACTTTGGTCATGGGTTCAGTGAAATTCAATAATCTTTACAACACCTCATGATGACCACTGTCATGGGCTCACTAGTTTTATTAGCTTCGAGAGGAAATTCCGAGAATTCCAATGAGCATTCTCTGACCATTGAAGCTAAATGGTGTTGAGTGTAAGGCAGTTTTCCATCGAAGATAATGGGAAGTGGTCACGCACTGTCGTGAATTGATTGACGTTGTGAAATTCACACCATTGTGGTTCACCATGGTGTCAGGTAACTGTGTAGTTGCACCAGGGGATTGAGCCGAACTGTTCACGTTGAAATGCTAACATGTGGGCAGTCTCTTTGATTCTCCTGAAAACTTGAGCTAAGATCATGTTTATGCGTGTATCAAAACCATTGAATAATGCTGACTAAGTGATCTAATCTGATCTGATCTGAGGGTTAGGCGTGTTTGCGTATGAGACTGAAAATTCTGGTTTATTGTTTCAGGTGATACTAGTGTAGTGAAGGAGAACACAGGTGAGGGCAACCGAATTGTATCTAGCGAAAATTCCAAACTTAATCAGTTAAATAGGAAAACCATATCGTAAACGGTTAATTTGCAAATCTTCAATCCTTCATCAATCCATTGTCTGTCATTCCACTATTCATCCGTTTCATACAAATTCCATTGTGTTCCCACTCTTCTTCCTTTCTTTCTTGATCTTCCCCCATCTTCTGCTGCCAGACATTACGTTTTCACTCGCGTCATATACTACTTATAAGTAGCGCGCACCACACTAGTAATCATAAGTCATTACTATACTTTTCTCTTTCTCATTTTTCTGTATGTTTTTTCGTTGTTGTTCATGTTGTTGTTGTTGATGTTGTTTTAGACAAGAAGTGAAATGGAATTGTTCGGTTTATCTGGCATTATGAATACATGTGTCAAATTCAATAAGAATAACACTGATCATCGATTACCATTGCATATTGTTTATCGTTGGAAACGTATACGTGATTTGAATGCACCATTTGTAATAGTGTTACGATCTGTTCAATCGCTATGCTCGGAAAATTATCAACTTGCACCAATTAGTATGTTCTCAACGTTATCTATATTTAATGTAAAAATCATTGTTTTTTCAGTTAAAGGTAAGGATAGCATTACCTGATGATGAAACAGTGAATCTTCATCAGTTGAGGTGTGGTTGGGACATGTGTTCACGAATGCCGAACCACCGCCTGCCTCAACGAGCGACCATTATCTGATGTATAGGGGTAGGTTGGAAGAAAGCTAATGGCGTCCAAATCAAAACATGGTACAAATCCATGAAGTCACTGACAACTAGACTGAGCCATGTTGATAGGTCGGGGTCCGCGAGACAGTAGTTACTGGTGGCTAGGAACTTTGCATGATGTTATGTTCGTCACTTGGTACGCTTAAAGCTATTACGAGTTCACCTTAGTCGACAAATACGAACGAGACAATTACCTGCGTCCAGGTAGGCTAAATGAGCGAAGACAAATGATCCAGTCACACGATAGGTTATTCTAATTCGAGCGTCGCAGGCCCAGATAACTATATCAAGAAGTTTTGATCAGGCCTAGAAAGTGTATTCTACAAGCACTCAGAAAATATGAAGTTGACAAGCACACTATTGGAGTTTATTTATACATGATAGAAACGTTCTTGGGAGAGCCACAAAAATAGTGTACTAAAATAATACACCAACCAATGAAAGTCAAGGAGTTCCCGGGTGAAAAGTGTAATCTCAAGGTCAACTGATCATCCCATTTTCGAAAACGTAAAATCCGAAATTAGGACTTTCATCAAATGAGTTCTGGGGATCTTACGTCCCTTACACTTATGTTATGTGAATCATTGGCATAGTTGACAACCTACTATAATTTATGTGTTATGAAAAATTCGAAATTCCTACGGAATAGTCAATAACGAAAGCAGTCAAGCATTATCATATCTAAAGTCAATGAAAAGTGATTGTTTAAAATGATATCTCTAAAATAATTATAGTTTAAAACAACTGATCAATTTTATCATTCCACTCAAACTCAACAATCTTTATAACTCTCTCGATTAATGTAATATAATATTTTAAATAATGACCAAAGGTCCTGGTTTCGAATCCTGCGGGGTACATGAGTCGTGGATTCGCACTGCCACTGATGAGTAGTCTCATCATCCATGACGAAACAACCGTCTTTCAGTGCTTCTTCCTGGTTTCTAATGGTGGTGGTGGGAAGACCGAGGCAGGCGAGGAAGATTGTATTATGCAAATTTACACTCTGAGTTAGTTAAAAACGAAAACATTACATTGAATACTCTATTTGCACACCATCTTTGAGTCGTGACTTCCAACACTCCATCCTTCTTCCATTCCTGCTGTTGCTTCCTTTACTTCCTGTTGGTACTCTATTTATTTCTTGCTTTTGCTCCATTTGCTTTCCGTTTTCCTCTTCTGACCGTGAGACTTCTTCTTTCACGTCCCTTCTTATACTACTTATATCGTTCGCATAAGTAGCACACACCACAGTGGTAGTCTAACATTAATTAATCGATTCATGATTTCAAAATGTGTGTAACTTTATTAAACACATTGCACATTGATTTTAATATTCACGGAGAACATTTCAATACTAAGTCATAATTTGATATTATTATTTTTATTCTGTTTAGTTCCAGAATTTGATTTTTACTATCATCGTTTGGATTTATTGAAAGAACCACAAAAATGTCGTTTCCTCAATCAGCTTATATCGTTTGGTGAGTGAGTTTGTTTGATTAAAAAAAACAGATAGCATTTTATTTAGCTGAAAAGCTTGTTATTTATTAAATTAATTTTCTTTAAAGTCATGAGTCAATAATCGTTGTTAGATCATAGTCATGAATGATATTCACTAAATATTCTAAACAAATTATTTTGTAAGTTTAAATTCTATTGGTCAATATTTAAGGTCGTCCTAAACTATCAAGTTCACATACTTTTAACTGTTGCTTCCTATTGGTTGGTATTCAAGGTCGAATTAACTATATAAATATGCATTGTCTGTAAAGTTTGATGCTCCTCTTCTTCTTCTTCGGTACGAAACCTCATATTTTCTGTGTGCTTGTGGAATACACATTCTTTGCCGTATCAAGACTATTTGATACCCTTAGTGGGACCTATCATGTCAATGGATCATTTGTCTTCGCTCACGTTTACCGACTGAAGTGAACTCGTAATAGTTCAAGCGTATCAATCTGACGAGCATAGCAATCGTCATTGGTAACCTAGAAGCACTAGGTGGCTATTTCGTCTCTAGCATGAGACTCATCATTCATTGGCAGTGCGCATCTATGACTTTCGATCCTGTGCGCAAACGCTTAGCCCTATAGACCACTGAACTGGCACCCATTGGTGTTAATATCTAACTTCACTCAATCCGCTGTCTTGTGCAATCTCATTTAGTGTTTTTGTGAAGATGATTGTTTTTTGGAAATAAGTTTCCTCTTTCAAAAACTAATCACTGAAGAAACAATAAAACAAGATAGCACTAGACATATGAAACGCTTTGATAATGATGATGAATGATTGTAGAATTTTCAACGACTTTAAGATGAATTTTGTCATATTTCAAATGTAAATCGTAATTTCCAAAGTTATCCAGTTTTATGGATGACATTATTTGTGAAAATTATATTTGAAACTAATCTAAGCAGTTGGAATGATCAGATAATTACAACGCATTCGTTTCAGTTATCTTGTCTGTACTACTTCAGCGTTATACTAATGAACAAAATCAAAATTAATTTTAAATCACGAATCGATCCATGTTAGGCCGCTATCACAATTCTGGCAGTACTGGAAGACCGTTTCGTCGTCTTAGTATGGGACCTATCAACAATGTGCATCCATGACTCCCACTACTTGAACCCAAGACCTTCGACCTTGCGCGCTTACGCTTAGCCTCTAGACCACTGAACCGATATCCAATGGTGTTAATGTCTAACTTTTATCAATCTATGGTCTTGCCTCCACGTCATCCCCAGTTTTCGGTGAGCGCTCCTTCAACGTAAACTCAACTTATTCTTAAATGATTCTGACTCCACAAGTCTACTGTGGTGTGAGCTACTTATAAGTAGTATATGACGTGAGTGTCAACGTAATGTCTGGCAGCAGAAGATGGGGGAAGATCAAGAAAGGAAGAGTTAGAAAACAATGGAATTTGTATGAAACGCATGAATAATGACAATGGATTGATGTTTTGCAACAGGAACAGTCCAGTTCGATATGATGAACTGATATTTTACAAATTGACGATTTACGATATGGTTTTCCTATTATTTTACTGAGTAACTCTGTAATTTTTCGTTAAATACAATTCGGTTGCCCCACCTGTGTTCTCGTTCACTACACTACTACCTAAACTATTTCAATTGTTGACAATGTTCTCTTATGTTTTTATAAGTGAACTATAAAAATAATCACGACAACAAGTTAATCAGTTCAACAACAAATTCACTTCCTTTTTACATTATTTATTTACAAAAGATTGACAAATCATTGGAAAAAAAAGATTTCAGTTTTTTAAATTTCAGTCTTCCTTATCACAAATTACAATATTTTCTAAGTTTAACATAAAACATCAAATAAATAATAATTGTCAAAATTGGTACTACACAAAATACTAAATGATACAATTCATTTCTAATCATAAAATAATTCATATCTAATGTGACATGAACAAATACCATCATTGATTTTTCAATATTGCGCCAAAATTTCAATGTGACAATAGTGTAACTGTCGACAAGATAAATCAGAGTGGTTAAATGATCAATCATGCTATTCAATGTTTGAAATTGATTCATTGATGGAATAATGTGAAGCAAAGTATCATCCTAATTTACCAGTGGTGGCGGTTTTAGTATTTGTTTTAAATCGTTTTTAAATTGATTTCCGACTAATTTGTAATAGAATGATTACAAAAATTACAAATGCACATAAATGACTACACCGCAATGTCGAAGACGTTTACGTAGTGTGTATTTGGCTTCTTTTTACTGCTGTCGCATAAACAAGATTCTCCCCTAAGTATGATTTACGAAAATTGATAAAGAGATTTATATTTCATCGCCTAATCGATCATTCATCTAAATAGAGAAGTTAAATCGCTAGCCACTATAGCTGCTTCATATTGAATTATTTTTTTTGCGGGTTAACGTGTTTTTCTTTTATTAGTGAGTTAATTTTCTAAAGGAATTGGAGTCGCTAACTCTCCCTCCTCCTTCCATACGGCCTTGGTACCGACAGCAACCCTAATAGGGCTGTACTTACTTACTTACATTCGCCTGTTACCCCCAATGGAGCATAGGCCGCCAACCAGTTTTCTCCAACAAACTCTGTCCTGGGCTTCCCTTTCCAATTCTGTCCAGTGTTTGTTCATTCTTCTCATGTCTTTCTCTATTTCTCGGCGTAATGTGTTCCTTGGTTTGCCTCTTTTCCTTTGACCTTGGAGGTTCTATGTGAAGGTTTGTCTTGTGGCGGAGTTAGGTGGTTTTCGTAGTGTGTGTCCTATCCACTTCCGCCGCTTCTTTCTGATTTCCAACTCCATTGGAATCTGGTTTGTTCTCTCCCACAGAACGTTGTGCTGATCGTGTCTGGTCAACAAATACGAAGTATTTTGCGTAGGCAAATGTTATTAACCACTTGTATCTTCTGGATGATGGCTTTGGTAGTTCTCCAAGTTTCCGCTCCATACAGTAGAACTGTCTTGACATTTGTATTGAAAATCCTGATTTTGGTGTTGATTGATATTTGTTTGGAGTTGCAGATATTTTTCAACTGTAGAAATGCAGCCCTTGCTTTGCCAATCCGCGCCCTCACATCTGAATCGGATCTACCTTGGTGGTCGATGATGTTGCCAGGATATGTAAAGGTGTTAACCTCCTCCAAGGCATCTACATCAAGAGTGATTTTGTTGGTGCATGTTGAGTTGCATCGGAGAATTTCGCTTTTTCCTCCATGTATGTTGAGACCTGCTGCTGCAGAGGCTGCTGCTGCTACACTGGTCGTCTTCTCTTGCATTTGTTGTTGAGTGTGTGATAGAAAAGCCAGATCATCCGCGAAGTCAAGATCATCCATCTGCATCCTGGCTGTCCATTTGATACCATGCTTCCGTCCAGATGTCGATCACCAGGAAAATGAGAAAAGGTGAGAGTAAGCAAATTTGCCTGACACCGGTCTTAACCTCAAAACAGTCTTTCAGCTGTCCTACGTGCACGAATTTGCAGTTGAATCCATCATAAGAATTGCGTATGATGTTAACTACTTTCTCAGGCACACCGTAGTGTCGAAGATGCCTCCACAGTGTTTTCCTATCCACGCTATCGAATGCTTTCTCGTAGTCGATGAAGTTGATGTAGAGTGGTGAGTTCCATTCAATTGATTGTTCCACAATGATCCGAAATGTAGCAATTTGGTCAGTACATGACCGATCCTTACGAAATCCGGCCTGTTGATCTCGAAGTTGGGCGTCTACGAAGTCCTTCATTCTGTTTAACAATACCCTGTTGAAGACTTTGCCTGGTATTGAAAGAAGAGTGATGCCTCTGTAATTCTCACACTTGCTGAAATTGCCTTTATTTAATATCGATCAGTTTTTTACTTCATTCTATTTGTAACATCATGAATTTGTTTGTTTTTATTTCTCTTAATTTCTTTTCCAAAAGATTTTGGTACCATTTATTTGTCACCACGTGCATTCGCTCGACCGTTTATTCGTTTAACACAAGGTTATGCAGAGAATTTGAATGATATACGTCATTTAATTGCATATCTATTCGATCATACTACTGTATTGATGACAGATCCTGGTTTAACTGCCATTATTAGTACAACAACACCATCGATTCGAACATCTGTAGCTCTTGTAGAAAGAATTGGAAAATTTTGGATGCATCGACATCATGTCAGTGAATTAAGTGATTTTATTGTTAGACGGTATGTTGTATTTAGACTAGATGATTATTATTTCGTTGTGAACTTTTTATGGTGTTTTAGTTATATAATGACTATTACGTTTTGGGGTTTTGCGGTTATGGTCTGCAGTAACTGATCAGTCATTCAGTCAGTCAGTTACAACGTAGAACTTTGTACGTACGTACATCAGTTCAAGTTGCCTGTAGACCTTTTGGGGCCACTGCCGGTCTCAAGCTCGTATAAACGAGAAGGGTAGGGCATACGGTTCGCGACCCTATCCAGTTGAAAACCAACTCGTTAGACAAACGCTAACAAGAGAAAATAATTCAAGCCATATAAACTCTTTTCTGGTGAGGAAAGTCTTCATTTGGAAGAATTATGATGTCTCATGATGAAAGCCGAGCTCCTTCGGAAGTCATGAGGTCGATGTCCCTTCTAACATTCAGAACCCTTCTACGGTGTGAACAGCCAGGAAGTAACATCTTCCCTTATACCCATAAAAGCACACGAGACCAAATCGGTCATATCCAATTGACCACATTAGCACACAGATGCAATTGTCTATTGAAATCCCAATAGTAGTAGAGATAGTAGAAGTATTAGCAGTAATCGGAGATGTTAATCAAGAAGTAGAATCGAGTGAAATAAATTTATAAATAGAAAGATCAAGGTGATGAGGAATTCAGAAGATCAGAATTTAAGAGAACACAAAGAGTGAGGGCAGCTGTGCCATTGCAAACGGTAACTGATATGCAAAAATGATTGAACTTCTTCTAATTACAAACACAAACCAACGAGACTTGAATGAACACCAACTGAATGTCGGTCAATGCAACAGCACTTCAATATTGGTTTTTTGACTGATAATACGAAATGTGAGGATAGTGAACTTTCAGGATAACTCCAATGTTTGAAATCATGATTCAATCATTGTTAGGTCACCGTTAGAATCCGGGAAGCACTAGACGGCCGTTTCATCCAGACACGGCACTCATCAGCAGTGCGCATCCACGACTCCTACACCTCGTAGGTTTCGATCCCGGACCCTTCGGTCTTGAACGCGAACGCCTAACCTCTGGACCACTTAGCCGGTATCAACTGGTGTTTATGTCTAACTTCGATCAATTCACGGTCTTGCGTACCCTCCTACATTGTCTTCGGTAGTTACTGTCTACACCTAAACAGGTTGAACTTCACTTTTCATGCCTCCCCTCTAGAACTCGGAGAAGATTCCCCACGGAGCTGGTCACTAGTGAGCACATGTAATTTGTGAAGATTGTTAAGTTAAACGTCCGTCCAGTATTTCTAGGTTTCGCATGGTGGTCATTTAACATTGATCGATTCATGATTTTAACGCCGTAACGAAATTCAATGTTGCACAAAAGTCGAAAAATTGAAGTAAAACTACTCTGTTACATGGTAAGGTAACATGCAATCTCCACTGTACATGAATATTTATATGAAACTAGTTAACTCATCATTTCATTTCATTTCATTAAAATATTGATTGATTATTAGATATGTGGTTACAGACAATGGTGTAATGCTTATTTATCCTGGAACTCTATTATCTCATACCTATGAACCAACGAATCGAATTTGGTATAAACGAGCTTTAGCTTTACCTGGACGTTTAATTATTACTGGTCCTTATTTAGATGATGCTGGTGTTGGTTATATATATACATTGAGTCGTACAATTTTTGAAGGAAAGTAAGTTTTTCTTTACTGTAATTTTTTGTTATTTGTGTTTGCTGAATTTAAGTTGACCATTGCATGTTTTGAGTCAGTCAGTCAGTCAGTTGCAACGTAGAACTTTGTACGTATGTACATAAGTTCATGTTGCCATACCACATTATTAGCACAGAGACGCAAATGTCAAATCAAATCCCAAGTGATAGAGATAGTAGAGGTATTAATGGTAATGAAAAAGACTAGGGTTTGAAGATATTATTCAAGAAGTATAATTCAGTGAGATAAGATCAGAACGACCACGATATACGAGCAATGCTTCTTAAAAATCTATGATCGAATACTGGTAACGTACGAACATCTACTCTTAACAGCCATGTTTCACAACCATATAGGAGAACGGAGCGAACTGCTGTGCAGTACACTCGTCCTTTGGTTAGCGAACGGATATCATGCCTACGCCATAAGTGACGCAGGTTAGCAAAAGCCAATCGGACATTCTGTATCCGAGCTGAGATTTTGTCAGTCACCAGGCCATCAGCACTGATGAGACTCCCCAGATAAGTGAAGCGGTCAACACGCTCGACTACTTCACTCCCTATCACTAGTTCAGGTGCCGATGTAACCCAATCTTGAAGCAACATTTTGCATTTCGAGGGTGAGAACAGCATCCTGAACATGCTTGGATTGTTGCTTATGGTAGTCAGAAGATTCTGCATAATGTTTTGAGTAGTCTGTTGTTGTTGTTGTTGTTGTCTCCAAATCTCTAGGTTATCGGTGCTGCAATGAATAAATAACCATACTCATTGTATTGATGATTCATATTAAGCTGTTTTACAACAATAGCTATTCTTATTTTACATCAACTTTTAAGTTTTCAGTATGGAAAGTGAATGTCCAGTGCCTAAAAACTCGGTTAGGCGTTAGGATATTCATCCAATATCCTAAGATAATTATTGCTCAATTCCTATTGGTCAATTTTATGGTTTTCCTGACTATCGATGTCAATTCAAATATTTTTTCCTATTGGTCGCCTGAACTGTCGATGTCACAGACTTAAATGTTGTTCCCTATTCGACCTAACTGTGTATATATACTCATTATCTGTAAGGTTTTATGACCAGGACCTGGATCCCTAGTCCGGGATCCTGATATTTTTCTGGACTCCAACCTCGTACTTTATCGATGCTTGTAGAATACAAGTTCTACTTCACATTCAAGTCTTCTTCTCTTACTCAATGGGGTTTGGGACACTTGGATTAGAGAAGGACGTATAAATAACCTCATGTTTTCTAGGTTATTGTAGAATACACTTTCTATGTCCTGTCGAGACTTCTTCCTCTACTTAGTGTCGGGCGTTTCTATCATCTATCAATAAACTCGGTTTGTGTGCTTGTTGACCTCATATTTTCTGGTTGCTTGTCAAGACTTCTTCTTCTACTCAGTGAGGCCTTAGGACTGTCACATTAGAGTAGCCTATCATATCACTAGATCATATGTCTTGTCTCTCGCATATCAAATGGTGACGAATATAACACACTTAGAACGTTTTCTTTTTTATAAGGCAAAGTTAACTTTTTTTTGTACTAATCATTTGTTTTTCTCTCTTGTAAAAAACATTTTTCTCAACTTTTTATCAGTTCTAGTTACACTGGTGGTGGTATACATTCATATGAAATGAATAAAATCTCTGCTGTGATTGGTATGGATGTAACATATCGATTTTTAAGTTTTATGCTATCATCCCATGGATGGTTACCAGAATGTGGAGAATTTTTAAAACAAGTTAATCTCAATTCATCATCTGACTCAACGTCGTCTTCCATAGTGTTCGGAGAACACCAACAGCAACAACATTTGGAAAGAGTTATCAATCAAAGTTTAGATAGTTTATTTGGAGAGATTGATGATGATTCCTTCTCGGCTTTCATCAAACACAGTACAATGTCCGCTGAATCCAATGTTAATAACAGTAATGATAATCATAATAATCACAGTAATCCTCCTTTATTTCCTCAACATTTAATTGATCAATCAAAAAACCATATTCAATCACGATGTTTACTTATCAATGATCAAGGTTATTTAATTGCTCATCCTAATTTTTATGATACAAGTATACAAGGTGGTGGGGAAGGACCATTAGAACAGAATCATTTAAGTTTTCAGTAAGTTTTTAAGTTGAAAAACAAAGTACATTATATATATATATATATATATATATATATATATATATTTGTTTGTTTT